TAGTGGATAGAGTAGATATCCATAAAGCGGATATAGAGTGATATAGTAGCTAGAGTGATGGCCTTGGCATCCCAAGACCTGGGTTTAAGTCTTACTTCAAACATTTACTAGCTGATAGCTGTATCATCATGAACAAATCTCTATATCTCTGACTCATTTGAAAAAGATAATAACACATTTGGTAACTACCTCACAGGGTTGTTGTAAGATCTAAATACCAGCCACGCATGCATCCACAAACACAAATCTCATTGTGGTGTGAGAGATAAGAGAGCTGGCCTCCAAGTCAGGAAGCCCTGGATTCAAGTCCCATCTGACACACTGACACCCATTGGCTAGGTGGCCCTGAGCTAGGCACTTAACTTCTCATGAAGACTCATTTTAAACTTTAAATGGCAGAGGAAGGCGTTGATCTGCAATGGTGAAGAGAATATCTTATACTAATAAAATGACTGGTTTAATCCCTATCCATCTCTTTCTCTCTTGTGCTTTTCAAACTTTAAAGTGCTATATAAAAGCCAAATATTATTTTTATCATCATTATTACTGCACCAGAGATATCTGTACTATGTGCCCAACCTGGAAGTGCATAGGAGGTTTCTTACAAATTAGAAATTCCAAATACTTACATACCTCTAATGACCAACAATCAGATAAAATCATGGCAATAAAAGGCCAGCAAGCTAAGAACAAATATTTCTGATAAATCCAAATACCAGCAGAAACAATGGCCTGATCCAATTAATGAATTCTCCCATTACTGTCAATGTCTTTTAGACCACCCTGATTTTGGGAGTAGAGGTGAAACTATGGTTGGATGACATAGATTTCTATGTTATGACAGTTGTTATTTTGTAGATGAACAAACTATGATCCATAAGTGAAATGACTTGACCAAGGACATACAAGTTACTAGAATAAGAACCCCAGTCACTAGACTCAAATTCCAGGTCTTTTTCTGCTACATTTTGCATTCTTGCTTCACAACTGAGTTTGGGGCCTCTGGGGTGGGGGGAAATTAGTCCCATTCAATAGTGAAAGTACATTGCCAAGAGTATGGGGTGAAAAGACTAATTTTCATATATTAACATCTTGTAAGACCCTTTTCAACATGACATCAGAATAGAATCATGGGTTCTTAAGTAAATTCAGTGAGAGGAAAGTGCCCAGATCCATCCAGTTAAAGCAGGATGAGGCTTACCGCAGGTTTAATCTGACAAGTGCTTGAAGCCCTGGTGTGGGGGATGGGGTAGTGACTTATGGGAATCTGGCATAACTTTCATAGCAGACCTGGGGGGAAACCACAACCATGTGGGCTAAGGAGACTAGCACCCGTCTACAAGACCTTCCTCATTCTTTCAACCCTATGTTTCCAAACGGAGAAACTGAAACTGCAGTCATGGGAAAATAGTCTTTCCTGAAATGACAAATGAAGACACTACTAATGAAATACACACCTTTTGGGGGTATTTTATATGTCAATACCTTAATGGATATAACAGAAGAGAGGTATAATGGATGGAATGGTGTCAACCTTTCAGATCTGATCAGGCTGGGGTGTGATATTCAAACAGTAAAAAGGTTGAACATTGGGGGTAGTTTAATGGAACTTAAAGGCAAGAGAGTAAGTGAAGGCACTGGACGATGCAAGCTTGACCCTTTGAAAACTTGAAAAACTCTTAAGACTATCTTTGTCAATCTGAAAGAATTAGCTGAAGCATAAGGAGCACTGGCATTGTGACTTAAGGGCCAGCCACTGATTTTAAAAGTTTGGGGTTGGGTTGTCCAATTTCAACCCCAATCCAGCAAAATCTCAGTGGGATGACCTTTCTCAGGATTTTGGACCCATTGGGTCCAAATAACATTGTTCTACTCATTCTTGATGGGGGCAGAAAATGCTTAAGAATTAGGTAACTGGGCTGAGTCTCACCCTGTAGAAATGAAATCACCTCAGTGCCAGCTGTCAGCTTCCCACTACATGGTTTAGCTTACAAAGGAAAATCCTCTAAGTGAGTCTCTTTGTCTTTGGGAAATGAGGCTGGCAACAGAGCTGGTCACGAGGCATTGGCATTTCTACTAACTGCTTTCCGCACCTGCATTTTCTAATAGTTGCTTAAAGCCATGGCTGTTTGGATTAACACACTTTTCTAGATTCTTCTAAAAGCACTAGGAAACCACAGTGACTGCTCCCCTCCTTCTAACTAGGGTCCCAAATATCTTAGCTTTTGCCTATTAGTAACTCCAGTACAATAACCATGGGAATCCATTTTAACATCATCCCTACAATGAAAGTAGTGGTATTGATGGGGGATGGGAGTAGGAGAGATGTCCAGTTCTATGATTGGCATTCCCTTGGGTGAACAACATGAAATTCAGTCTTTCTTGGATCATTTTTAAACCAGACCTTCAAATGTGTTTGGAAAAATCATTTGAAAATGTCTTCTCCAATTACTAACAATGTCTTCAATTATTAACAATTTTTTTCCAATCTGTTTAATCAAGGCTTTTGACAACATGTTTGTAGTCTATAGATTGTCAGAATTGTAAGAGACTTTGGCACATAGATTCTTAGACTTAGAAGGGACCTTAGAGGTCATGTGGCCCAACCTCTTCATTTTATGGGGGACAAAATGGATTTTCATTGTCTTTATGTGAAGGAGCATGACAAATTTAATAATGCTAATCAGAGTTATAATCAGGATTCTTTTTTGTGCTCCAGTAAAGTACTATAAACTTCATCTAGATTAGTAGAAAGATGTGTCCCCTCATTCAGGAGAAGTCTATCTTATTGAAGGGGATATAAAGACCCTAAGGCAATAGCTCATAGCCCCTGTTTGGGATATTGAAACATGGAGACATTGTTAGGGAACAGAGTGGGATGGACAACCTCACCTAGCTAGCCCACTTACGGGCATCTTCCTATTTTAATAAATAATTGCTATTAACTAGGTGGCAAGCTTTGTTTCTCTAGTTGTTGAAGGACTGCAGATCTTACGAGCATCTTTTAAATGTCATTCCTAGGATGAAACCTTGGATTTTTCCATCCTAGTTGTAACTCCCCCTGCTGATAGCATATGATTTAAAGCAACATGCAACCTATGTTAACTGCTTTTAATGCTATATATATATTAAAGTCCTCATACCCTTAATCAGGTCTGAAACCATCTATTGATCTGATAGATATTTTTGTTAAAATGAATGACAGGATCGATCAGTGGTTTGGTTTCTGTGAGAACTAGCACAATTTTACATTCATATTTTAAATGCCAACAAGCCCCCCTCCCCATTAAAATGGAATTTCATGCCCCACCTTCCATTTCCCCATGACTGACATATATAACAGCAAATCCTGTACCGAATGGTAGAATATTTTATGGCTAGAGGCTTGGCGTTAAGAGGTTTTGTTTAGTTCCATCAAATTAGGTATGCTCTCTGCAAAATCATTTAAACATATACAACTTAAAATTCTCTGGAGTATCTCAACTAGATTTAATGCTACAGAATTGTAAGTTCTGAGGAATTTCTAAATTTATTAGTTGAGGTTGCTACAGTATATGCTAAGAAGAAATGTAAAAAAAAAATCCATCTTGCTTTTTCATTGCTACGTTTCATCTGAATTTCAGCTTTTTTTCCCCCAACAGTTACTGGTTTCTTCACAAGTTAGAGATAGGATTGTACGAAGTACTCAGTTAATAATAAGAAACCACAGGGTAAAATGCTTTTCTTGACAAGAATGATGAAATGATGAAAAAAAAATCTATCAATAAGGCCTTAAGATTACCTTTTCTTATAAATACTGATTCATTTTTCCATTTAAAAAAAAGTAAAAGATGATGGATGAAAGTTATCCAGAGAACTCTGGGAATCAGTAAGTATAACTATCAAACTAAAAAAACTCTTGCCTGAAACAGATAACATAAAATTGTATTTCTGCCGGCAGTGTTGAGGTTTGACTCAGACACATGGCTACTTAGTAGTTAGAAAACAAAAGAAACACTGACTTCATTTCAACACAGACTCAAATTTTTTTGTTAAAAACTCTCTTTGGAGCACCCATTACCTTGAAAGTAACAGAAACATTTTCTAGGGCAAGCCCATATTTTCACGGGTGCACCATTTACATGCTTTCGACACCAGGACCTCTGAATTAATTCAGTGTCTGGAAAGCTCCTCTGTGGGCTCTGGTTTGCCATTATATTTTGATAGGCTCTCTCTACACACTTGGTGTTCTGGTGGGATTTATCTGCCAATCATTGAGTGTCCTTAGTTGATAAGGTGGGATGGGAGCTTCAAACATTTGAAAAACTAGTCCAACCTGTTTATCTGTCTTAAAATTGCACAATCCTCCCTTTTTAAAAGGAAACATTTTGGGTTTCTTCACAAACCTTAAATCCTCCTCTCTACCTCCCCCCGAACCTTTCAAAGAATATTTGTGGACTATTGTGGAGACACAGCCATTAACTTCAAATTCACCATTTAATATTTAGGATTTTTATTGCAACCTCTCAATTATTGCCTCTGCATTTCTTTTATGCAAAGTAGAGCCACACACACACACACACACACACACACACACACAACGAGTTTTAAGACACTATAGTTTTTCCACAGGATCTAGCCCATTTTTGCAACCTGAAAAGGGGGCAAGGAAAGGATTTTGGGGGAAAATACACTAGAGAATGTTTTTGGTAGTGAATAAAATAGCTTATTCATTAAATTTCTTTTTAAAAAAATCTAAAAACTGTCATAAGGCCCAATTTCCATGGGTTAACTAAGGGAGTGTTTAGAAATAGAGAACAATTTCAATTTTCCCCCCCTTTGGATGTCTTCATTTTTAGGTTTCTATTCGTTTTAGTGTTTAGGTAAACACGTTTAGGTTTGGTGTAGATTCACCTGAGACTTAAGTTCTTGCTTGGGCTTGCAAATGTCTGCATTTTCATCCCATCTTAAAGGCCCTTTATCCAAATGAGGGTGAGTAAAAAGAGAGCAGCAGCTTTGGCTGTTTTGTTTTAGTGTCTTTACTCCCTCCTCAACACCCCCACCCTCCACTCTGTAATAGAAGCATCGAGGGAAAACATTTTAACAAGTGCAGTTGCAAAGACATGGAATGAAAAAGAAAAGAATCAGATGAGTATTCATAATTAGAAAACACTTAAAAAAAACTGTTTGAAGTACCGTGGGCACATTTACAATGAAGTGCAGGGAGAGACTTCCTCCACTTGGTTTCTGTAACTCCTGCGGCCAGCATGCCATAGGCAGGTCTGTTTCTCTTTTTCGTCAGGAGCTGATGCTATGCCAACCAAGAAATGTTCTTTCTTGGCCTTTGACATGTAAAGAAGGACAAAGCCAATGGGATGAATTGTTAAGTTGGCTAAGTCCGAGGAGCTTAAAGCTCATTTTCTTTCATCACATGCTTCTTTGACTCGGTCCAGTCTGGGTCCCTTCAGGGTAGTGCATGTTATAGTCAATAATCATCTCTGTCATGAACGTGCCAATGGGATCTTGTAAGAAAAAAATACTCACAAACATTATTATTATTATTTTTTTCAAATGTATGGCATAGAAAAAAAAAACAATTAACTTCTGTACAAACGGAAAAATGTGCTTCCTGGGCATCTTGCTGTTGATTTGGGAAGTCTTACAGATTAAAGATGAAGGAATGCACTTGCAGAAAATCTGCCTCTGGTTGACTCCATTATATGCCCAGAAAGGGGGACAATTCCAATGGAAGACAGGCCCCGGAACGTACCAAAGGAAATTAAAGCCAACTGTGGCAATGTCTGGCCCATAGGCTTGAAAGGAAAGGTGTGAGTGAGTGGCTACACGGCATGACTGCTGCCTTTGTTGTCCGTAGCTCAGTCCTGGGGCAGCTAGATTCCATGGCTGCATGAGGGAGGGAGGGAGAGAAGGCTGTTGGCAAAGGGTCATGCTGAAGCTTGAATGAATTCACTTTGTTGTGCTGCTACCCTGAGGTACTCAGGATTTTCTGCGGCAGGAACTTTAAAAACCCCATTTGGCTTGGCTTCCTGGGGGAAGAAGTCCTGCTGGTAGTCAGGGTTGTCCAGACTGATTGGGTGGTTGGCTTTCGGGTTCCAGCAGGAATTGCCGTCGAAGGCTTTTTTGATCAGGTTGGGCTGGGTTGTGTTGAGATACTCAGGGTTGTCCACCGCACTGCTGTTGTGTGAGTTTTGGTACAGAGAGTCTTTAGAGGCATCTGGGTTGAAAGGCTGGTTGTGATAGACAGGGTTCTGGATGGCAGAACCCGTGTGGTTTTTAGGAGCCGACTGGTTTATATATTCTAGAATTGAAAAGAAATGAGGAATGAATTTCATGAGTCAAGTTAGGTATATGTGGCCTTCTCTGGTCAACTCTTTCTCCCGGTAACTAGTGACACTGAAGTAGGAGGAGTATGGGGAAATCTTGGAGAGAATACTTCTCTTCTTTAACTCAACTCTACATTCTATTTTTCCTCTTTGCTCTTTACTGATGGTGTAATAGGTAAAGGGCTAGACTAACATGTTAAGATGAGCTCATGGCTCTTTGGAAATTATATGTCACTACAAAATTGAAGAGATTATGATTCAGGGGGGAAGAATGTGGCAGAGTGGAGACGGGGCTAAAAGGCTATAACTAGGTCATTCTGGAAGTATCCCTGAGGCCCAGAATGGAGATAGGATAGAGAAACAGCTCAGGGCTGTCAATTATTTGTCTTGATTAATTGTTTGGGTCTCACCATAGCCAGTCTGCACATGTTCAGATGAAACAACACAGTCAACAATCAGTCAACCAGTTAAATTCAATATAAAAGCTTCATTAAAATTCATTTGTCATACGTTTACATAGAAACAGATTATCTTCAAGCTAGGGCAAGGGGAGAAACCTGAAAAGATTATCTAGCCTTGCTATTGGGCATTAGACAGGGAAGATATAATCCCCATTTTGCATCTGGAACAAAGATAATTTAAGACACTTCACATTTATACAGCTAAAAATGTGTGGAAATGAGGATCAAAACCAGATCGCTCCTTTCCTAGTCCAGTGCTTTTCCCGCTACATAATGCTTTATGTGCAATCCCAAACTCTTATGTTTTAATATTTCTTCAAAAATTTTCATGAAACAAACTGAATATTTTAGACTCTGTATCAGCACTCTTGAGACAAAAGGTAGGAAAATACCCTATCAGAGTCGCAACTAGAAAGGCTTGTATTTTGGGCAAATTCAGATGGTATGGGGTAGGTAATGGGGTGTGTTCCCAAAAAGTCCTGTTGGTAATCTGTAAGGGTGGAAAGGGAAGGTGGATGCAGAGACAGGGTTACCATGGTGACAGGACCTTGGGGATGTTGGGCATTGGCAGTTGTGCTCATGTACCTCTGTGCATGAGTCTCATGAGGAACCACAAAGTAAAAAAGACAGAAGTCACTATAGGGAGGAATGTCACCCCCTCAGAGACACTGGCACTCCAAGTCAAAGCCCTGGTCACTCCATTCTAGTTATAGCTTTGCATTCTGTAACAGACATCTATAATGATCAAGTGAAACTGGTTGCTGGTTTTTAAGGGCATGCAGGATTGCAATGAATCTATAGACTGCAAATGCACTCACCTGGTACAGGCTGGAAGCTATCATCCACATTGTCTTCAGTTAAGACAGTAGTGGGATCAGAACTGTATCTCTGGATAAAGCTTTCTTCCTTCACAGGGCAAATCTGCTGGCAGAGGAATGAAAGTAGGCATAGCATTACGGCAAGAAAGAAAACAATGTGGCCCCACTCTACGCCCACCAACTGGCTGCTTATGACAGTGAGTGGAGAAAACATCTTTCAGCATTTTATGGCTCCTTGATTTCATTGGTGTGAACAGGGGAAATAGAAGAAGAAAGGTTCAGAAGGAACTATAAAAACTATAAAAACTAGTTTCACAGATACGGTATAGGAAAAGGACAGCAGTGGGTTAGTGTGTAGTCAGACTTACCCCATTTCTATCAATGCATACTGTGGCAGAATTATTGCTGGTAGCACTCTGAAAGAGAAATTCAGAGATTTCTTTTAGGGAATACACATCACACAGTCCCATCACTATCAGGAAATCTTAAGCTGCCTGCCAAAGCTCAGCTCAAGAGCACCTCATCCCCATTTCTCTGTTCCACCAGAAAGAGCAGGGAAGTGAGGTTCTAAAATGGTCTTTTTTTTTTTTTTTGCCTTGGAAGTTTTAGGAAACACAGAAGTTGGGTTCTGGTATTAGAATTGGTTTTCACCAAGTTTTAGTCGAGTTTTTACAATTGAGTTAGAAATTAATGTCTAAATTTGGGGTTTAGTAAATCTATTGGATTCAGTCTTATTTGGGGTTAGGTAATGTCTTCCTTCCCCCTCCCAATAGAATAAAAACTACAAGTTGCTCTTTGGGGCATAGAGCGTTTTGCCAGTGCCTAGCAAGGTGACTGGTATATGTTTAACAAATGCTTAGTGATTGATTTTGAACATTTATACACACGCACACACACATATCTATAAACACTTCTATACATATACCTGCATATATACCAATATAGTATATATACTATAGAAATGTTTGTGTTAAATTAAATGCTTTATAAATTCCACATATAATGAAGATGGAAATATTGAAATCCTTGCTTTATAGGTAAAGCCCTATTTGGAGATGCAGTAGCATAGTAGTGGGAGAGAGAGATTGTCTCAAAGCCAGAAAGACCTGGGTCTTGCCTAGGACAGACACTGGTTGTGTGACCTTGGACAAGTCACTTAACCACTTATTGCTACAGGCAGCTAAGACTCAAAATTGTAGAAGTTTGGCACTGCAATGGTGTAGGAGTTTCCTCACCTGAGAGTTGCCTATCCCCATGAAACCAACGGTCTAGTCCACATTCCTATATGTAAAGCTATGGTTATAAAGGACCAAAATTGAATAAGGAAAAAACTCTTTTAAACTGGTAATTTGGAGATAAACAATCAAATGATGCCTGGTTGCTTGACTGAATTCTGCCCGAGGTGTGAATGTTTTCTTTTTTGTAAATGGGATTCATTCAAGCTGGTTTGTGTGTGGTGACATCACGTATGTGGCTTTTTACCAGAGAGCTTAGGAGAGGTGTGCGAGATGTGGAGGGGCTGTTGAAGAATCCTTGCTGTGGAATAAGGTACTCATCTGCATCTACAATATCTTCCATGTCCTCCTCTTCCATAAGGGTGCGATAAAATTTGGAGTCCGTGGGACTTGGCAAGTGCATTCTTTCATCTCCCTGTCAAAGAGAAAGGGATCCTGTAAGGAAGAGCACTTTACATACTATTACTATCCAGGTCATGCTGACTTCATACAATGCTACATTTTAGCTAGAAAAAAATACAAATATAATGCCTCTTTGGGGTACACGTGGAACAAAGGTTATCTATTTTGGTTTTAGTTCATGTAAACCTAAAGGCTGGTTGTATGAGTAGTAGAGATTGGCCACCTACATGGTGTAGAACACTGGGCAAGATCCCATCATCCTATGCTTTAAAATATTTTCAACCCTACTTGTCATGACACCCCTAATTCTACCATTAGAGATTCCTTTCTTTGGATCTGAAAGACTTTTTAGCCCTTAAGCACTCACTATTAAAATGAAAATTATTCTGAGAAAGTCAATATCTTAAACTTCAATTTTGTTATTGGCAAAGGGGGTGGCTGCACTAAATAAATGGCTTCTAAGTTTTCTTCCAATTCTAAATCTATTATCCTATTATCTTAAGTCTATACAATGACATTTTAGTGGAGACTACCTGAGACAAAGTATTATAGGAATGGGATTTAGGTTAGGTCCTGGGGAGAGTGAATGAATTCCTTCAGGGTAGCATCAGGAGGAGAGAGAAGAGGGAAGGGCCAACCCAAAGAGGATAAAAACATAAACTTCATCTACTTTTCAACCAGGCCTGGGGCTGACTCCAGACTTGGTACTGCCATTGGCATTAGAGTTAATGCTTTGATTAGGAAAATTGGGGGGGGGTGAAATGCCCATTGCCATCACATATACAAAGTTTTCTGAATTGGAATCTAGTACTATTTGTTCTTCAATCTTTGTTGGGACTCATTCACCTTTCTCATTTAAAATTAAAAAACCTATAGGTTCTAGGCCTACATGTTATAAACAAGATTAATTTATTTCATTACCAGTTTGATTCTTAGTAAAGGAGCAGACTGGAATTTTTTCTAAATTGGTAAATTTGCAAGGTTATTTTACCATCAGTAGGTTTAGACTCATGTGCTTAGCACACTATCTCTCATCTCAAAGGAATCTAAATGAAGCTAAAGTTAAAAACCAGAAAGTGAGGCATTTTTAGTCATGCTTTAGTTTTAATTTAATTGCCATTAATTGGAATGTAGATGGCTCAGAGAATGACAGGCCACCTTATGAAGTTCAATGAAACCTCTCATTTTACATATTGGGAAACTGAGGCCCTGAGAAGTAAAGTGAGAGAATTAGTAAGTGGTAGCCAACACTCAAATCCAAGTCTTATAATCAGGCAAAGTGGCAGATGGATCACCCTCTGCTTACCATAAGAAAGAGGGTTATTCCAGAGTTGGTAAAGGCCTTATAGACAAGCAGTCCAATTCTATTGTTCTACAGAGGAGGAAACTGAAGTCTAGATAGGTTAAATGAGCTATCGATAGTACAAAAATGTAAAGGTCAGTATATTATAGGATTTAGAGTGGGAAGGTACCAAAGTAGTTATTTAACCCAATCCCTGACTTTTACAAAGAAGGAAAATGAGGCCCAGAGATGAAATGACTTGCTCTAGGTCACAGTGGCAGATGGGACTGTACTTCAGGCCCAGTGACCTTACATTTAGGGTTCTTTGAGATTTGTGCTATTTTACAAATACATCATAAATGTGGAATTCTGCCAATGGAAAATAATACTAGAAGTGATAATGATGATGATGATGATGATGATGATGATGATGATGATTCCAAATGGCCCCCTAGAAGACGGGAGATATTTTAAAAGATTTAGAACAAGGACTCCATCTTTCCTTTTCCTTTTAATTGTGTCCAGCATATAGTTTTCCGCACACACAGAACCAGTGTAAACACCCTGGAATCTCTTCACAATTTTGGTATTTGGGCTAATGACATGATATCCCACCATTTCTGAGTGTTGTCCAAGTACTCCAGTGGACTGATGTGAATGTTCCCTTCAGTGATACAGATTACAACCTATCCATGCTTGCCCATCCTGTTGGACTCACGTCCATGTCATCCTATAAGTTCATCTCAGAGGGTCCATTCAATGTCCTAGGGGTCATCTTCATTTTCTCTTAACACTAGGAGGCTACCTATGGAAAACTCAGCCTGCCCATTGGTTATTCCTTGCTCTTAATATATGGCCAGCCCTTTCTTGTTTCATCCCCATCTCCCCCCACATACCCCTTATTCCTGTTCTCCTTGTTTGTACTGTATTATAGTCTCTTTCCACCTCCCCTGGGCCTCTCTAACACCCTCTGTGTGATACTAACGTTCACTTTTTAGTTACTGTAAAGTTTCATAACTCTTGGCCACACAGCAACACTGAATAAATATTGTCATGAAAAATAAGAGCTTTTTGGTTCTGAGAGAAATATGGGGTCATTAAAAGAACTTTGTAAATTGTCAAAGGCAATCCAGTATCTTCTCCTCCTCCTGTTCCTATTCCAGGTTAAATTCACATGTTCCACATGACATATATTTTATGTATATCCCTAATCCATAAGCAGTTAGACAATAACAGGGTTATATATATTTTATGTTGAAGTGAATGATTTTCTGTCCCTTGATTTGATTCTCATTAAAGAAGTTTTCCAACTGAGCAAAACTTGAGCACAAAAAGTCATTACCTGTATAACAAGGTAGCGCTGGGGATCACGGGCCATTTTAGAAAATTCTACAATCAACTCACGAAACTTGGGGCGACTGTCAGCATCTATCATCCAGCCTGGAGAAGCAAAGCAGAACAAATCCAAAAATAAAAACACAAAAAAACCCAGCAGTAGAATAAAGCAATGTAGTTAAACATTGGGGAGGAAAATTAAATTTGATTATTTTTAAACAACATAAGGGAAGCACATTTTAGTCCAATTAACCTCAGAGATTCCAGACAATTTATATATAATGCTTTTCAGGATGAATACTTCAGGTTTGACTGATAAGCACAGATCCCTGCTTAGTCAAACGAATGCTATGGGGTGAATTTTTCTACCTCCACTAAAACCCTTCTCCAATGCTTCATCAATGTAAAGGTGACATTGGATTCTAAGAGGCTATGCTAGTGGAATATAACTCCTACAAAACCAAAAAAGCTTCTAGTATGATTGTGACAATGGATTGGGAGTCAACTTTCTGAGAAAGAAGGATGTTATGCCAGGAATCTTGAAGATCATCATTCCTATTATTATACAGATGAGGAAAGTGAAGATCAGAGAGGTTAAATGTGCGGTCAACAATAAAAAAAAATGTTAGATCAGCTTAGCTAAGAGAGAGGTTTAACATCAAAATATTAGTCACTGGGGATGATCTCTTTATGGCTGCAGTAGCTCAAGAACACCATGTGCTAGGGTCATTATCTGAACTGATGGAGAAGGTACCCATACTGATGGAATCATGGGGCCTTGAAGTATTGAAGAAAGTATAATTGTTTTATAATGATATTTGTTACTTCTGTCTTTTTATCTCTGATAGTTACAACAGTGCCTGGCAGTGGCAAATGCTTAATAACTACTTGCCTGTTAATTAATTGAATAAACAATTACTCATTGTCCTTCAGCTTCTTCTTGGGGTTAACATTAATAATTTGTACTCTTAAGCAAAACAGAAGAGTTTCCCAGACTCAGCATGCTACAAAGATCCCAAACCTTTTTCTATTCCAGCAAAACCCTTCATACACATGCACTGTAGTCTTTGGAGAAGATCAGATCTGCTACTCTCACAGTTTCAAGTTAGTGAAATATGAGGGCTACAAAGATCTTGGCTTTGGGGAACCCCCTGCCCTGCACTATTCTGGATATTATACAATAATGCATCTCAGGAAAAATGGAGGGTTTTGCTTTTTTGATCTCTTTGTTAAAAGGTGAGATAAAAGGTGAGATTTTTAATCCTGGCCCCACCACCTGCTGACTAGCATAGGCTATGTCCAATGACATAATGTTAATTGACTCAAGAGCTCCTAAATGAAACCTTAGTGCCGCAAGTAGTGCTTTTCTGGTTAGTCAACAGGATGGCTATCAAGCTATTTGTACTGAACTTGGAATCACTCGACCTTGATTCAAATCATGGCTTTGCCACTACCTGGGTAATCCTGTGCAAGTAGTTTAGCCTCTCTGAGACTAATTTTTCTCACCTGTAAAATGAGAGCGTTGGATTCCATGAGCTGTAGGATACCTTACAACCCTAAGCATTCTAGGGTTCTAGGATATTTTCTGGAGCCTGCTACAATTCCTTGGGGCACTAAGGCTTTGTCAGAGAAGCCAAGACTGAGGACTTGGGTTTGAACCCTGGCTTGGCTACTTACTTACTAGGTCAATCATTATGGGAAATCCCCTGGCTTGAATCTTCCATTGTTTAATGGATATTATGCAATAATGCAGATTGTTTCAGGGAAATGAGAGTTTTGGCTCTTTTGATTTCTCTGTTATAAGATGAGTAGAACCACCCCTGCCCCCCTCCACATATGCATAACAATAACATTAAGCAATCTAACATTTTAGACTGAAATATTAGCACCCCTAGTGAGTTTGCACTTCTGCTTAGGTAACAGGAATTTCAAGCTATTTGGTCTGAATTTAGAGTCACAAGGCCTTAGTTTGAACCCAGGTGCCATCACTTCCTGGCTGGAAACCTTGCACAAGTTAATTATCCTCTCTAGGTCTCTGTTTCTTCAAATTAAGGCATTGAATTTGATGACTAAATTTCCTTTCAGTTCTGGACCTATGGTCCCTATGTACTGGATTTGGACTTCTTTATTCGATCTACTGTTGAAGCAGAAAGAGGGCCTCAACTCCTTTTTTGTCATGGACCCCTTTGGCAATCTGGTGAAGTCTGGGGATCTCTTTTCACAAAAAGGCTTTTAAATAGAGAATATGTATGATTATGAAGGAAACCACTTATGTAGAAATATAGTTACAAACAAAGATCAGAAGTAGAATTTGTTAGGGAAGTATATGTCTATATATGACACATAAATATATCCATACTTAACTGTGCCTTCTTGGGGGAGTAAGGGGGGGAAAAGAACAAAGTAGAAAGTGCGCAGCAGAGAACAAAAGAAAACATACAAGGAAGCAAAGAAAAGATGGACAGATCTTAACACGACATGTAGTATTTATTATATAGGCTTTCTTGAAATGGAAATCTATTGCTATGTATTTTGAATCTACTCTTGCTTTGCTGTGTACATGCTTTTTTCCCCTTTTCTTACTTTGTATTTAAGTTTCACCATGTTTATAATATGTTTCTTTTTTTCTTATTGTGTATTTAAGTTTTAGCAATAAAAAAGAGGGGAAAAAAAGAAATATAGTTACCAAAAAAACAAAAACAAAAACAAAAAAACAGTTTCCAGATCCATGGTTAAGAAACCCTGGAGAAGACTGATTACAAATACATCAAGAGCTAGAGGAAAAGACAGCTAGCTTCTTGTGGCAATGCAAAACATTTTAATCCCTTTTCAGATGCGGTCACTATAATTTCTTTCCTTATCTTTAGCCGTATTTGTGTTGAACAGTTTCATCTAAATAGGAAACTACTTCCTTGTAGAGTTAAAGTTAACCTAGTAGTTATCATAGTTCCTGTGAAAATCTCTTTTAAAAAACAACAACGAAGCAAACAAAAAAGAGGTCCAGAACAAAAGACTAGAAATCACATGGCTATTTGTAATACCGCTGTCTTGGCAGGTCTAGGGAGTAAACATTGGAATCAAACTACAAGGCAGAAAAGCAGCAAGCTTCTTCCCATTCGAATGTAAACACCCACATATTCTGTGATATGCCATCACCAAGCAAAACCATCCATATTGACATTAGCATGGCCAGGTGATGTTCATTACACTATCTAGTACTGGCTTCCATGACGTGTAGAGTTGGCTCTTCAGAGCTTCCTCCAAGGATGATGTTATTGGGGTAATTTCTTTCATCTAGGCTTGACTTTGGGAAATATTTAAATTCAACACAGTGGGAGTTATCTTCCCATAAACTCACTGCGTACTGGGCCTGATCCCAAATAGAAAGGGTGCTTCTAACAGCTGTATGTGGTTATCCAGTCTTAGGTTTAAAAAAAATAATAATAATTTTTTTTTTTGAGCCACCCAGTCTCTGTGGAAACAGGCCTCCAAATGAATTCCCAGTGGTTTGGGATTCCATCAAGTGGCTGAGCCAACAGGAACTGTTTCTGCTATGGTACAAGCTGGGCTTTAGTTTATTTATAGACTTTCAAACCCAGACAAGTGTCAGGTCACATTGTTAATGAGTCAGACTTCAGCCCTTGGAATAATGGTTAAAGGGCATATTTATATGGGTTTCTGGGGCTATCTCTTAACTGGAAATTATTCCAGGATTTCTACATAGACAAACTCCACTGTGCGCCCCCTCCCCTTGGAATTTCTGTCTAACACAAGGGTATCATAACAGCCAAGTCCTTTCTATCATACAAAGGCCTTCTAGCTCCATGGTGTCTTCTGGCCAGTTTCAGCTTGATGTAACCCCTCATGTGCTCTACGATCCAGTTAAACTATTCAACTTACTCTTCACCACCATATACAACATTCCATTTCCCACTTCCATGACTTTGTACCGTCTGAATTTCAAGCCCGGAATGATTTTCCTCTTTATCTCTGCCTCCTGGAATCCTTAACTCTCTTTTGTTAGCCAAAAGGCGTTTACTAAATATTTATTACATGCCAGGTTCTATGCTAAGAGTGAGGGGTACAAAGACAGGCAAAACCAGTATCTCTGATTTCAAGAAGCATATGTTCTAATGGAGGAGACAACAGGCAAATAACTGTACATGTAAGAGTATCATCTCCTACATGACATGTCTCCTAATCTTCCAATCTGTAAGTGCTCCCTTCAATCCTTCATGACTTTGTATGATAATTTATGTGTTATATTTAATAACTTTTGGTTGTCCCAAAAGTCTCAGTGTAGTTTTAAGTTATTAAAAGTTTAAGCTGCACTAAGATTTTTGGGCCACCCTGTATTTTTGTATTTGCTGATATACCTGAATGTCTTTGCCCTTCACTGGAATGTAATCTCCTTAAAAGCAGGTACTATTATGTTTTTATATCTGCAGAACTTAGCATGGACTTTGCACATAATAGACACTTAATAAATGATTGCTGCATTTAAATGAAATTAAAATGGAATTGAATGAGGTGTGTGAAGCCACACCAATCCAACTCACATTTGACCATGATCATGTAGACATCAATGGTGCAGATGGGTGGCTGAGGAAGGCGTTCTCCTTTCTCTAAAATAGATGAAATTTCACTTGCAGGGATTCCATCGTAAGGTTTGGACCCAAATGTCATCAGCTCCCAAACTGTGACACCTGCAGAAGTTGGGGGAGGAGAAGAAAGTAGAAGAACATGGTCATTTATGGAGTCAGTAATTATCCCTGTTCTCCAGTCACCTAAAAGATTCCCATGGCTCTCTCTTCTATGTCTATACTTAATACTTTGCCATGGAGATGAGGGCTTGTCCTTTTTTGCAGCCAGAGTAGACCATACACACACACACACACACACACACACACACACACACACACACACACACACACACACACACACACACACACATTTTCTCTCTCTCTCTCAAAATAAGTGCCTGAAAAAGGAACACAGTAATTTTCCTGACTCCCAATCAATCATAAAATACAATGTCTTCAGACTTGCCCACTAGACAAACCTTGCCATAGAACTGTCTGGATTTTCCAAAGACTATAACAGAAAGTAAATTTGGTTAGTAAATCAAGTTGAAGAAAGTGATCCTGTAAGGGTAAGGGAACGGATTTGGCCTTTTTTTTCCCCCTATGCTCCATGTAATCACATGAGCTTAAAGGGAGGCAAAAAACATTGTTTCTTGATCTATGCTTTTAATTTGTTCTATTTTAAAAAAATAAATCAGACTTCAGAATGCACAGTGGAAATTGGTTTTGCCTCAGATGGTTTGATACTCAGTGCCCTTTTCCATAACCCATCAACCTTGGGGGAAAAAAACCCAACACACAAGTTACCACACAGTCAGGGATTCCTTTTTTGGAAAGCTGAATGGCTGAATTGTACGTTCTTCCCTTAATCTTTTGTGTTTGTTTGGATTGCTCTCCCTTTGAAGATGTAATATGACCTGCCTCAACATCTCCTCTTTGGGTTTCATGATAAAGTGGAGAAAACTGGACTTGTCGAAACGTGTGGTGGTTGGCATGGGAATAGACTCAGACACAGGATTGATGTTGGGCGTGTAGGTGGGAAGAAAGGGGTGTGATGGGGGAAGAGTCTTCCCCTGGACTAATGGGTGGAGCCACTCTTGCCTATGGAACTACACAGATCCCAGAAAAAAGCTAGGCTGGGCACACACACACACCCAAGTGAGTGTTCCCTCACGCTTGCTCCACCAGCCACAGAGTCTTAAGAGGTAACATTAGACAATATCAGTGATATGGAGGGGTACTGGCTCAGAGGGAACAAATAAGCTTTCCTAAATCCTGGATATAAACCAGCCAAGATAACATAATCCAGGAAAGGAACCAAGGAAGAGGGAGGGTTTTGGATAGGACAGGGGTGGGGATAACCAGTCTGTGTCAGAGGCCTAATTCATTGAAATAGTTTAAGCTGCCTCAAGGCACTGAAGAGCTCCATCTTCCATATCTAAGTGACAACACCGAGTTTTTAAGTTACAAAAAGTAATTGAGGTCAGACATAGTAAGAATAGTCCCCTAAATTTCATCTTCAACAGACATATCCAACTTGTTCCCTATCAAATACCATCGCATACCTCTGCACATCTACCTTTTGACCAAAGATGTTCCAAGGGGGCAAAATATACATATGTGTGTATATATGTATGTATGCACGCATGCATGTTATATATGGTTGCATGTGCATATGTGTATGCATGCATGTTATATATGGTTGCGTGTATATGCATATATGTATGCATGTGTGCTATACATGGTGGCGTGTGTATGTATGTATGCATGTTATATGTGGTTGTGTATATGTATGTATGCATGTTATATGTGGTTGTATATATATGTATGTGTGTGCATGTATGTTATATATGGTTGTATGTATATATGTATATATGTAGTTATGTATAATCTTTGAACTCAGGCACTTATATGTTGCATGACCTGGGCAAATTACTTAATCTCTTCTAGTCTCTGCATCCTCATCTTAAAATGGGGACAATAACAGCACTTTTCTCACAGTTTTGTTGTGAGGATTAAACAAGATTACACACACACACACACACACACACACACACACACACACACATACACACACATACATACAGACATATACACACATATAAAATGCTTTGCAAACTTTAAAGCATCATGTAAATCTTAACTGTTATTAGTAACATAATAGTGAATATTAATGCTTCCCCCTACCCCATGCAATTAAATTGCCAGTGAATGAATTCTTGGCAGAGGTGGTATAGGATTCCTGCTCAGGTATACCTTAGACTAGATGCCTTGTGAAGGATCATCCCACTCTGAAACCATAAGAACATAGATTTAGAGATGGATGGGACTTTAGGTGTCACTTTCATTTTTACAGAAGAGGAAAGAGAGACACAAAGTAAAGTGATAGAATCAGATCTATCTAGACCTATCTTTAAGGCCATCAAGTCAAATTCCAACTTTCTCCCTGCCCTCCTCCCCCATTATTTTGAATGGCAACGAGAGGTTAAATAACTTGCCGGAATCACACAGCTAGTAAGAGTCAGAGGCAGGCTTTGAACCCAGGTGTTCCTGACTCCCAGTCCAGTGCTTTTTGCAGGGCTGGAGTTTGGCCCTACTTCAACTGACTACAAGTAAAGAGCTCTAACACGTCACTTTCTTGATTCTATCCCCAGAGATAACTGGAAAATTTTGCCTGAACAAAAGAAGTGGCCAGAAAATTCCATCTCTCATTAAGTATAAATTAGTTTTCACTGAATCCTAAATGAAAAATGTCATGATTCACTAAACAACAATGTCTATCAGATGATTCTTGCACAGAAACTCATTCATTCCTTTGCTGGTAAATTCATCTGTGATCAGGTAAATTGAAATTGAAGTCTCTCTCCCTCTGGTTCCTGGTAAAGCCTATTTTGTGCATTTTTATCTTTTACCTTCCAAATTTTACTGTCTAAACAATGGAATATAATGTCTTCAAGAATCTATTTTTAAATACTTCCCGAATTCATTACTGTGCATGCACACACAAGCAAACACACACACACACATACACAGTGTCATCTTTAAGACATTTTTAACTGTTTCTCCAATGGCATTTTGGGTAGCAGTCATTTTCAATTTTTTTTTTCCTGCGTTTACTTCATATATCAGATAGCAGCCATTACATTATTATTAGTCATTGCGTCGAATGATAACACTTGGATGACAGAGCATGTAACGCAAATTAACAAACAGAAAAGTCTAGTTAAGTCTCAGTCTAAATTCATTAGTACCTATGGTTATGACTCACCATAGCTCCAGACGTCACTTTGGTGGGTATAAATACGGTGTAAAATCGATTCCAAAGCCATCCATTTAATAGGCACCTTGGGATAATTAGAGAGAAAATATAGCAAGACAATTAGGCCTTCTTCTTAAAAAAAAAAGAAAAAGAAAAAGCTGAATACAGGTGTTCTACCACCTGAAGGGTGGAGAAGCCAAAAACACAACCTTTCTTCTTGCTTGGTTGCAGACCAGCTACATGTGGCCTGTATCAGTAAGAACAATGCTGGCATTTAAGTTGTAGGATCAGGAGATCAAAGATTTACAGCTGGAAGGACCTGACAGATAATTTATCTACTGCCTTATTTTACAAATAAGGAAACTGAGGCTTGAAAGTTAAATAACTTGCCCAAGGTCACAAGGTAGTAAGTGCAGAAGTGGAAATTGAACTCAGGTCCTTGGACCCCAAATCTAGAACTCACTCCCTAGTGGCATGCTGATTCTATTTAGGTTGGAATAGTGACAGGCAAATTTAGAAACCTGGCATTTCTTGGCCCATGCTGAATGTTTTGTTTTGTTTTTTCCTGACAGGTCTTTTTTTTTCCATTAAAATCAATTGCATAAACACTTACTAGACATCTACATTGTATAGGATATTGTGCTAGGTGCTGTGGATAGAAATACTAAATAATCTCTGCCCTGAAGGAGTTTACAAACTGATGGAGAGATTCTGACATGAACACAAAAAATTATGATAGAAAGTAGAACAGAAAAAGTAAGAGTCTCAATTTAAGAGCTAGAAGAAAAGTGAAGTGGATTTTTTGTAGTGAAGGGTGGGGAATGAGCAGGAAGTCTTCATGGAAAGGGGGACACCTGAATTAGGTCTTGAAAAAGGGGGAGGATTTGCATAGGTAGAGAATGAAAGTAAGGGGAGTTCAGTCCAACCTCGGGTCAGCTAGGTTGGTGCAATGGCTAAAGTTCTGGACTTGGAATCAGGAAGACCTGAGTTCAAATACTGTCACAGATACTTACCAGCTAAGTGACCCTGGGTTAATCACTTAATTTCTCTCAGACTCAGATTCCTGAACTGTAAAATGAGGTTAATAATAGCACCTAACTCACAGAATTGTTGTGAGGATCAAAAGAGATAAGATAGGCAAAGCATTTTGCAGGGCTACATAAATGTTATCTGTTACTATTATTACTCCAGATGGTGATGCATGATTTCATTGAATCACGGGGATAAGAGGAAAACTAGCACTAGGTCAGTGGGTGGGGCAGGTGTGAGTCAAGGTAGGTGCTTTCCTCCTACAATCTTCCAGTAAGGTCATTTTCAGGACACCTCACCTAGATCGTTTTGCTATGACCTGAGAAAGCATCTCCTGCCCCCGTGAATGCCAGCCAAAACACCTCTTCTCTGTCTTCCCCCTTCTAGGTTTCTGTCTGGTATCCCCTTATCCTTCCTTTGAGAAAAGGGTCCTGATCCTTATTCTCTGACTCCCTGGAACTGCCTCTTTGTCACACTGACTCAGCCCTCTCATATGGCTAGTGTGTCTCAAAAAACAGATTCCACTAGACACACTTTCCTGGCTGGCCCAACCTTTGATACACAAACAACCTCTTGTACCTAAGTCACATAAGTCAGGCGCCTGGGCCACCCCACTTCACACACACACACAAACACACACACAACCTCTATAATCAAAACTTTGCTCATTGGCACAATCTAGCTGAAAGATATACCCTAGAGTCAACAGCCATGAGATCTCTTTTTAAAACTTCATCTGGACTTTCAAGCACTTCGGTATGATGAGTCATTGGCCCAGGTTTTGCCTTTTTCCTTGGGGGTGGGTCAGGAAGGTTCCTGGTGGTGTTACAATGATTATAAATGACAAGTCTGGGCAAACAGCAATATGAACTCATTTTTGCCTCACAAATGGTTAGGTAGGAGCAATGTGTGATAGTCATCAATAAACAAAAAGAACTAAAGCCATGTTAACTTCATCACTGACTAAAATTTCTTTTGAAGATTGCTTATTGTCTCAGATAAACAAAGCCTAATGCTTTTAATGGATTATCTATGGAACTGAATTGAATTCTACTATCAAGTGGTTGAACTTGAAAGGTATTATGGCTGGTCTCTGGCCTGGGTCATCACTGGCTTAACCAAACTATGTCATCATAAGACCTGGGTCCAAATGAGAGGAGAATGATCCTGGGAAGGAGACAAATTGTCGGTGATAGAGAGAGAAGGGAGGGGAGAGGAAAGGACTTGGGTTATGGGAACAGATGAGAGGAAGTCTTAGAGGAGGAGTGCAGAGTTTGTTCAGACTGTCATACATGCCTGAAATGGACATTCCTTCCATTATTATCCCTCCCACCCCCAAACTCCAACTTCACATGTTAAAATTCTTCCCTTTGTTAAAGATCCAGCTCATGCTCCACCTCCCCTAAAATTGTCCCTGCTCCCTGTTATCGTTCTTTCTTCAAACCTTTCAAAGCACTTTTGCATTCATCCCCTTCTAATTCACATCTTTCTTTTTTTATTTCCTTTTTTTTTTTTGCAAGATAATGGGATGAAATGACTTGCCCAGAGTCACACAGATAGTAAGTGTCAAGTGTCTGAGGCCAGATTTGAACTCAGGTCTTCCTGAATCCAGGGCTGGTGCTCTATCCATTGTGCCATCTAGCTGCCCCCACATCTTCATTTTTTATTTGCATTTATGTTTCATACCTCCTGCTTAGATGGCCAAATCCTTGAGGGACTGTCTTATTTCATCTTTATATGGGGCCTTACACATAGTAGGTGCTTAATAAATGTTTGTAGCTCATTGGATCATGTATCTAGAGCTGAGGGGGATCTCAGGGGCTTGTTAGTCCAGGTTGTTCATTTTAAAGCTGTAGAAAAAGAGGCCTAGAGGGAGATTAAATGACTTGCCCAAGGCCACAAAGGTAGGATTTGAATCCATGTCCATAATACTCCCTTGCATAGAATTTCATGGCTCTACTGTTTACTAGCTGTGTGACCTTGCTTACTTCACCTGTACTCATCAGTTCCTTCCCATTTTGTAAATTGCCATGTGAGCTATTATTATTGCTATTATCTTGTCTTCAAGGAGCGGTTGGTGACTTCCTACTATTGGCCTTGGCTCAGCCAAGGTCTTTCTCTACTGCCTCATTGTGGTACAGAGGTCACTCTGACTTCTCAAAGACTATACCAGAAGACCACAAGCTCTGGCGAGGTTTGTACAAGCTAGGAGGGCTTTGAGGATAGGATTAATGATGGTGTATCATCAGCTGAGGGCCAGTACATCACCAGAAAAGTGGTAATAACAACTTGTGCCACTTACTAAGGCATAGAGAGATGGCAGTCATCTGCACTGGAGAGCACAGCACCCATACAGATAAAATCACGAACCTTTTAAACTACTAAATCACCGAGACACTGAATCATGGCTTCTGCCTGCTAGACTCCATTCATCTTAGCATTAAACAGAGTCATGTCAATTAGTAACACCTACTGTGGCTCAGCTAAGAATGATTTGTGATTTATTTTTTAATTCAGGGATGATATAGCATAATAATAAAGGTTTCTAGCAAAATAATAACAGAGACGATCATGTTGTCACATAGATGAGGAGTCTGAACGTGTATTTCTATCCATTAAATGGGTGTTTCCTTGAATGCTGGGTGAAACCTGTTAGCATCTCACCTTGCCTCCTTCTGCATGGTATTCTTTCTCATCAGCACCAAGCAGCTTTGCCAGCCCAAAATCTGTGATCTTCACATGTTGAGGTGTCTTCACAAGGACATTTCTGGCTGCTAAGTCACGGTGTACCAAGCGGCGCTCTTCTAGATAACTCATCCCCTGAAAAGCATAGGCATGGAAGAGGAAGTAAATAAGAAATTGCCCCTCATAAAACCACTCTTCTATTGTGGATACAGAAAAGCAGCACACAAATCTACAATCTTCCCGACGGCTTGTGAAGAGACCATAGGATTTTTCCACTGCATCAGACATAGGAATTACTGATAGGCAACTGTGGTGGGGGATAGCAGAAAGAGCACAGGACTTGGTGGCAAAAGACCTAGGTTTGAGACTAAGCTCTGTCATTTTATTACCTTCATGACTCGCATCAAACCTCTTTACATCTCAGAGTCTCGATTGCCTCATCTGTAAAAGGGGGATGTTAGTTTTGTTTCCCAGGTGATATCATGAGCTGCTTTTGCAGTGTGGTTTTTAAAAGACATTTAATCACAATTTTTCTTTTTAAAGAATAAGCAAGAGTGGGTGTTGGCACTCTTTGTTTATGAAAACCAAATGCTCCCTTCCCCATCACTTATGTGTCTGCATAGTCAATCTACACCCAGATTTTGGGGCAGGGAGAGGAAGCTGGAAACAAATTAATGCCTTAAAAAAACAAAAACAAAACAAAAAAAACCCCTCTTCCCTAGTACTCAACAGTACCTCCTGTTTTGATCTTTGCAAGGTTAACCTATTCCTTGGGCTGCCATCTCTCTAACATTGAACATACTGTTTGTCTTTGCACTACTAGCTCTTGCAGAAGATTAAATCTATTAATTATTTGTAGTGCAAAAGCCTCACTAAAGTAAAAAGTGTTAATTGTATCTGGCTTATTAATGCTGTTGAGTCATGACATCAGCTTTCTTTTCCAGTCTGTCTGTTCTTTCCTTTTTCCTCCCCGTCCCTTCTTTTCTTTTTCCTTCCCTCTACTCCCTCATTTATCCTCCACACATACATCCTCCTCATTTGAGGGCCATTCATTTCTGGTTGCAGGCAAAAAACAAAACAAAAGAAAAACCCACTGTCTTCAACAAGTACTTGAAACCCTTCCTCATTCTTTCTTTCCTTCCTTCCTTCCTTTCCCTTTCCCTCCCTCCTCTCCTCCCTCCCACCTCCCTTCCATCTTTCTTCCATCCTCCTCCCTTCTCCTTTCCTTCACTCCTCCCTCCCTTCTTCCTTTCTTCCCTCTCTCCCTCCCTCCCTTCCTTCTCACTTTCCTCCCTCCCTTTCCCTTTCCCTCCTTCCTGTCCTCCCTCCCACTTCCCTTCCATCTTTCTTCCATCCCCCTCCCTTCTCCTTTCCCTCACTCCTCTCTCCCTTCTTCCTTTCTTCCCTCTCTCTCTCCCTTCCTTCTCCCTATCCTCCCTTCTCACTACCCTCCCTCCTTCCTTCCCCTTTCCCTCTTTTCTCCCACCCCCCTTTCATCTTTCTTCCTTCCCCTCCCTCCTCCTTTCCTTCACTCCTCTTTCCCTCTCTCCCTTCCTTCCCTACATACGTTTGCCCTTTCCTTCCTTTCCTGTCTCTCTCTCTCCCTCCCTTCCTTCCTTCTCCCTATCTTCCCTCCTCCCTCCCTCACTTCTTCCTTCCCCTTACTTCCTTTTGTTTTCCATAAAAAAAGAAAAAGAAAGTATTTCTGAGGGTCTTGTCAGTTCCACTGAGATCTACAATCACTCTCCTACCAAGTCTCCTTAAAGACCACAGGGTTAATAATCCCCTGACTCCAAGTTCTATTTTGGTTGTTGGAGATCCAAGCACCAACCTACCTAGAAGATAATGAGCACACATGCAGTTGGGAATCCTTAGGCTCAGCAGTCTGCATCCTCTGAGCCTCAAGGACCACCATCTGATCCTTTCCTCCCAATTCCCCTGCCAGGGCCCTCTGAGCGGAACTTCCCCCGCTGTGCAGAGGCTTGTTAGTGTTGCCAAAAGAAACATCCCAGCAACTTGGCCTTTGGCCACTTGGGAAATTTGTTTCATTGTATAAATCTAATCCAGCCTCTGCTTCCCGCCCAAGCCCAAGGTTTCGAAAGTCCAAGAGTTGCCTTAACTGTGAAGCTTTCTTGACTGGAACTCAAGACTTATTGATAAACCTAAGTCATTCATCATCGTGATCTAGTCTTCAAAGAGAGGTGGAAAAGGGGAGCAAGGAACATCTTATGTCTCCCAGTACAAGCAACCAAGAAGCCAGATGATAAAGGATGAGGCCGTTAAATCAGAGTGCCAGGACTGCAGGATTTAGATTCATCCAAGGCTAGAGAAAAACCAATAATAATTTTTGAAAATCCCTTTCTTATCTGTTCACTCTTACATCTGTACACTGTCCAAGAGACAGCCTGAAATTTGACTTCAGGGCCCCAAAGGGTGAGAGTTTAGCTAGCCCCCCAAAGATAAGAGCCTAATTTCTCCTATGAAGTCACAGTATTCAAACAAACAAGTCGCAGGAAGTAGAGTAAGAATAGGTCTTTAGAGAGTCTCTTGGGAAGTGTGTTTCCTGCATTCTCCTTGAAAAGCTTCAAATTTTTGTTGCTGTTGTTAATGACTGCAAGATGGCCAGTAAGAGATTTGAAAAGAGAGGCATGGTTTTAAATATTTCAGAGGATTCAGTTATGATGAAAGATCCTGTGGATTCTCACAGAGGTGTTTTCCATGGTTTTGAAAGTCACAAACAGGGATGAAGAAGTAAGCCAATGACCAATCAGAATCCTAGATTTATAGCTGGGAGGGACCTCAGAGTTTCTTACTCAGGGTCTACTCCAACCCCTTTATTTGATAGATGAGGAAACAGAGGCCCAGACAGCTTAATTGGCTTGCCCATTATCACACAGCTTTTAAGTAGTACAGGCAGGAAGGATTTGAATCCAGGCTTTCTGACCCCAAATCCATTCTGCTATCTATCCACATGACCTCTTCTTTACCTTAGAGAACTGATGGTGAAGTAATAGACTATAAATGAAGAATGAGGCATATCTCATCACACTTGGCCGAGTTTGCTTTCTTTCAATTTATTTTACTTCATCACACGTAGGGGTTCTGTTGTTGTTGATTTTAGTTGAGTCTGATTATTCGTGACCCCATTTGGGGTTTTCTTAGCAAAGATAATGGAGTGGTTTGCCATTTCTTTCTTTAGCTCATTTTACAGATGAGGAAACTGAGGCAAACAGCCTTAAGTGACTTGCCCAGGGTCACAGAGCTAGTCAATGTCTGAGGCCAGATTTGAACTCAGGTCTTCTTGGGTCCAGGCCCAGCGCTCTATGCACTGCCCCAGGCTAATCTCCTGGTCATTTCAGTAACGCAGACATAACTTTTTTTGCAAGAAATTTCTTCATGATTATATTACTGTGGCAGTAATATCCTTAACATTTCCAAAGATGGGAAGAAGTACACATCTCTCCTTAAATGTCTAATTTAGAGGTAAGGAATGAGTATTAGATACAGGGCTTTGCAAATTTCTTTACAAATAACATCTTAATTGAAACCTACAACAATAGGCGCTATAACTATAACGAAATGAGACTGATTTTTGTATGTGGCTTATGGGAAACCAGGCTCATGGCTTTCTAGTCACACCCAATACAACAAGGTTGAGTGACATTTCCTTTCCACCCCATGACCATACTTTAACCCACTACTAATTGCTTTCCCATTTCCTTTAAGTAACAGTAGGATCATAGGATTTAGATGTGCAAGGGGCCTCAGACAGAGGTCATTAAGTACAATCCTTCATTTTACAAAGGAATAGGTTAAGGCTGAGAAGGGTGAAGTGACTTTCCAAGGTGACACAGGGTAAGGAGCAGTGTGTCAAGAATTAAATGCAGGTCTTCTTACTCCAGATCCAATCCTTTTACAACTATATCACTCTTGCTCTGCCTATTTCCTTGACATTTTGTTCAGGTCAATAAACTTGTGTAGTATAGAGGACAGATTCACACACAAAAGCTATACTTAGAAAACATCTCAGGATAGCTGATGGTTTCACGGCTTAAGATATGCAATTTATGAACCAATAAATCTCACTTTGAAAATTGCTAGTAGTTTAGTTTTTGACCTGCCACGGAGTGCTCTTGGATAATCCCACTCTGGGTTTTTAAAAATGAAATTGGTGCTCAGATAAATAACTATTAACCCCAGGGCAAATGTCTCTCTGTAGGAGTTGTGGGGGAATTGTTATTTTCTTTTCGTTCCTTTGCTTGGTTGCACATTACTATAACTTGTTACAAGCTATTAAATATTATTCTTCATGTGCTGAAGGCAAACGCATTTTGGCCACAGTTAATATGCAATGAGGCAGAATTACCTGAGACTGAAATATAGCTAATGAAAGAAAGGAGGGCATTGTGTGATTAAAGCCTGCACTCAGGAGCCTGCCTCAACCATCTTTAACCAGAGCAAAGTCTTTATCAAAGACTTAAATAAACGTATGGGTAATATGCTCATCAAATCTGCAAACAGTACAAAGCTGAGAGAGATAGCATGTTAGATAGCAAAGTCATGACTCAGAGAAATCTCTACCAACCAGAATAATGGCTAAATTAAATAGGATCAAACTTAACGGGGATGATGTAAAGTTCAACACTTAAGTTTAAAACATTTTTAAATACAGTACAGGGAGATAAAAGCTTCTTTGAAAACTATCGGTGAGTGTTGGTGGACTACAAGCTCACTAGGAGTCAATGGTTTGAGAAAACATTCCAAAAAGCTAATGAAATCTTAGGGTGCATTAAATCGGGGACAGGGTCCAAAGCCAAGTAGAGGATAGTCCCTGTAAATCACACCTGTTGTATTCTGTTCTTTGAGCTCCATGATGTAGGAGGATGGTGCTGGAGACAAGGACAACCAGAATGGTGAGTTCTAGACAGTGGGCCATATGAGTATCAGTGGAAATATATGGGAATGTTTAATCTGTTGAAAAGAAGACTTCTGGAGGGCAGAATAGCTCATTTTTCCCACTGTTCAAATGGTTGTTAGTGGAAAGAGAAGTAAGCTTTCTTCTGCTTGATGCCCAAGAGGCTCGATGCCGTTCTATCAGTTACTAACATTCCAAAGTAGACTGCCTGGCCTCAGGAGGTAGCTAGTTCTGCTTTACAGAAAGTGCTTCACAGTTAGTGCAGGCCTGTTCTATTAGAAGGTAAACTCCTTAAGGGCAGAGACTGTCTTTATTTTTACTTGTATTTGTATTCCCAGGGCTTAGCACAGTGACTGGCACAAAATAAGTACTAAATGCTTGCTGATTTTGAAGTTAAGATTGGAATGTTACTCCCTGGAGTAAATTCCATCTAGAAGGAGTAAGAGGAAGAAAAATTATATCAAGAAAGGTGGTGCGAGAGGTAGGAGTTATTGGGTTAAGACCATGAGATTTTGTACTGAGGTTAGGCCCAGTTAGACCAAGGAGAAGAGTGTTTCCAGAAAATGTGGCTTATGGATTCATAAGTTTAAAAACTTGTGGGGACCTTAGAGATTAACAGAGAAATGAATTGTGGTGGAGTCTACTCCTTTTAACTATGTCTTGGAATTCTTGGGTTTGGGGAATGACTACAGATTGGTTAAAGCTAGCCTAAGTCTGGAAGCACCCATTAACATGTAGGCCATGTGGTTGTTGTTCTAATATTTTTTCTCTTTTGATTCTATGGCTACAAATTTAAAATGTGTGCACTTAAACCAGGATCAATTCTATTCTGCCATGTTCATAAGATCAGGATTTATAGATATGTAGAAGAAGATATTGCTTTCCCCAATGAATAGGGGCTTGAATTGGACAGAACTATTCAGATCACACCCCTCAGCTAAAAGCACTGGAAAGGAACACTGAAATCTCTAGAAGGGGTGGAGCTACGATAAAAAAACAGGTATTTATGAGAACCACAGAAAGCTTGGTGCCTACCAGGAGAACCCCCTGGGTATTTGATGGAGCACATTACCACCTTCATGAGTGAAGGACGTCCTGATGCCTGCTTCTTCTTATTCAACAAGCCTGGTCTAGTAAACTTGTAGTCTCTGATGACTAAATTTCAATGTATTTGTGGGGGAATAAAGAGTCTAATTATTCTGGGTATCTCTTTCGGGGCTCAGAAAGGAAATTTGGTGAATAGGACCACATAGATCACGAAGGAGAAACTGACTTAGTGAATTAGCAGTTATAGATATGCTGACTCCTTAGTTAATATGGGGCACAAAACTAAGAAAACTTTACATATACAACTTTGTGCATATTAATGGTAATTTGATAACTCATTGGGTAGGAAGTTGGGAATTCTTCTGAGCAGGTGAATATTATAGTCTTCCTTAGAACAAAATCATTTCTTCATGATATCTTGCCAAGTAGACTACTCATTAATATCTCAAACCCCCAAATTAACGAAAAACTAATTGTGACATCTTCTGAAACAGGGAGAAACTAACAAGGCCAAGTTTATCTTAGTCTATAAAAGAAGTAACATCAGCAACCAGCTCTTTCTACTGCACCAGTGCAGTGTAACGTCCATTCGGTATCTACCATTCATTTATTCACCCTAACTTATCGTGATATCCTAAAAAAGTGTGATTTCCATTTTGAAGATGTGGAGTTGGAGGCAAAAAGACACTATTGAGGCTGTCCCAAGTGCCGCATGCAGTGTGATCAGGAGAGAGGCTGGCCCTGTAATTCAGGACATGGGACTCTAAGAACTTGTCACTTCTCAGGTTATGAAAAAATAACAATAATTGAAATATAACAGCAATAACTTGGACAATTTTTATTTTTGGATTGATTATGGAAAAGAATCTTTTACAGTGTCTTAAAATCTCATCAATTTTTCTCCATGTTATGTCCTAAATATAATGACAAAACCAAAGGTTCTAAATCTAGGAGAAAACTTAGAGATCACCTAAGTCTCCAGCTTTTTAACTAGGGCCTAGTTGTGAACTTAAAGAAAAACAAACAAACAAACAAACAACTTAAAAACTATATTTCAATATCACTAATTTCTTCTGTTAATCTTTGCATTTTATTTCATGTATTTAAAAACATTATTCTGAAAAGGGGTCCATAGGCTTCACCAGACTGCCAGAAGGGTCCAAGATAACAAAGAAATTAGGAACTCTTGATCTAGACCAGCCCTCTCATTGTTAAGTGAGAGAGGTAAGATGGCATACCATACTGCAGAACATAATGGCAGTCAGAAATCCCTGTGTTTGAATCTTACCTCAGATACTACTAAGCTGTGTGACCCAAGGTCAGTTACTTAACTTTGCTCAGCCTGTTCCCTCATCTGTAAATCGGAGACAACCCTACCGCAAAGGGTTATATTGAAGATCAAATGAGATACGGTATGCAAAATACTTTGCAAACCTGAAAGCGTTATAATAAAATGTGAGCAATTATTATTATTGTCCAAGATGACAATGAGCAGCAGAATTGGGATCTGAATCTATATTCTCTGACTTCCAATCCAGGTCTTAAGTCATTATATATTACTGACTCAAGAAATTCACTTAGGCAGTGATAGCAGATGTGTTTTCGTACTCCTTACAACCCCCTGGGCTCTTGAATGAGGGAATTGCTCAGATTTTAGCACTTGCTTGGCGACATGTAGGTCAACTGAGAGCATACCAAGCAAATTTCATCTGGCATTAGAATAAGGGGCACTGAGAATAAAGCTTGTCTGAAGGGCAGTAAAAGTGAAAAGTGCTTTCAAAAAGTCGTTTAGGGGGCAGCTAGGTGGTACAGTGGATAGAGTTCTGGCCTTAGAGTCAGGAGGACCTGACTTCAAATCCGACATTAGACACTTGACACTTACTAGCTGTGTGACTCTGGGCAAGTCACTTAACCTCAACTGCCTCACCCCTCCAAAGAAAAGTTGTTTAAATACAAAATGATGAAGAGGGTGTATATGTACACACACTCTCTCTCATACACACACACACACACACACACACACACACACACACACACACACGCCAACAGAGAACACTTCAGGGTAGATCTCCAGGTCTCTATTTCCTTTCTCCCTTCTGTTACTTTTGGCTATGTTTTGGCTCATCAACATCTCCCTTGAGATGGAAGAAGTGGATTGGAGAAGAAAAAAAAGCCATACCAGTCAAATCTGTTCTTTGTTAATAGTTTTGGCGAAGTTTTATGGGTAATGAAATAAAAATTAAGTCATAAAATGAGGTGGGTTTCTAAAATGTAGGGTGGATTTTGTACTCTCTGTGCTGTCCCATGAAAAACTGGGAACTTGTTGAACTTTGTTTCCTTTTCAGTGTGAATCATTTTTAACCAACTTAAGAAGGGATGACGGACAGAACTATGAGTGAGAAGAACTTCAGAGATCATCATTTTTGGTTGGTCATTTTTCAGTCATGTTCAACTGTTCATGACCCCATTTAGGACTTTCTTAGTAAAAATACTAGAGTTACTGGATAAAAATACTGGGTACCGGAGTGGTTTGTCATTTCCTTCTCTAGCTCATTTTACAGATGAGGAAACTGAGGTAAACAGGGTTAAGTGACTTGCCCAGGGTCACACAGCTAGTAAGTGTCTGTGACCTGATTGGAACTCAGGTCTTCCTGACTCCAGCCCAGGTACTCTATCCACCGTGCCTCCTACATGCCTCAGAGATCATCTAGTCTCAACAAATATTGACCAAGAATCCCCTTTCCAGCACCCTTCAGAATGGTCATCTAGTACTTGCTTGAGACATCTGATGAAGGCAAGCTCACTACAGGCAGTATGTGATGCTATGCGAAGAGCTAGACAGGATCTGAGTTTCAATCCTGACTCTGTACTTGCTGCCTATGTGACCTTGGAAGTTTTTAATCCACTCTGGGCTTTAATTCCCTCATCCACGAATTGAGAACTTGGCTTAGATGACCCCGGAACTAGCTTCCTTCAGTTTCAGACCTATGGCCCTATGGTACCAATGTATCCCATTCTACTTCTGAACAAATTTGAACCTACCTACAACTCCTACCCATTGCTCTTAGTTGGACCCACTGAGGCCATATTCCTTTCAGTTGATAGCCATTCAAATACTTTAATACAGTTAGTTTGTCCCCAGCTAAGACTTTTCCTTTCCAGGCTAAACATTGACAATTCCTTCAGCTGATTCTAACGAAGGCTGGCCTCAGGGCCCTTGACTATTCTCAGTGGCCTTTTCCAATGTGGTTGCTTGCTTCTATGAATATTTCCTGCCAAGTTCAACAGCCCTTTTATTTACCTTGGCAATCTGCACACACCAGTTGAGAAGGTACTGGGAGCCAATGTTGTCCTTGTGTTCCCGTATGTAGTCCAGAAGGCAACCGAATGGCATGAGCTGTGTTATGAGTTGGACTGTGGAAGTGAGACAGATTCCCAGGAGACGGCACACATGGGGATGGTCCACACTGGCCATCACGTAGGCTTCCTGCTCAAAGAAAGAGGGAAAACAACATCACTACCCTCCCGAATGCAAGGACCAAAAGCAAAGGTTATAAGGTATCTTTAAAAAGAATGGGAAGAGAGGAAGAAAGAAAAAAAAAAGAAAGGAAAGAAGAAAGAAAGGAAAGAAGGAATTCAAGAATTCAAACTCAGGTCTTCCTGATTGCAATTTTAGAACTCTATCCATTACACCACCTTATTGCCTTAATTAACCTTTTGGGTATTTCCAAACTTAAGACCCATCAGGATTATGTAGCTACAATATATTGCTGAATTTTTCACATTTCATCTTGTCTTATGGTGTTGATAAGCAGCCTCAAAGTTATATTTACTACAGATTAAGAAGGTGACGGGGAAACACAAATTTGACAAGGCAAATTTTGGTGCTTTAGGACTTGAAGATGATGATGTATCCATCCCATTGGGCTGGTTTGAAGGCACTAACCCTATTGTAGTCAGCCAAACTGAGATGATGGAGAAAGTATTTTTAGAAGTCTTAAGTATCAGAGAAATAGACTTTACTTGGTATACATTTAAGTTAATTTACATGTTTCTTTCCCCTACAAACTGTAAGCTCTTTGATGGGAGGGCTATCTTATTTTTGTCTTCGTGCTCTCCGTTGCCCAAGAGAGTGGCTGGTACATGCCAAGTGCTTCCAAAATGCTTGTTGAATGAATGAATGAATGAAATGAATAAACTTTGGTGGTTGTTTCTCATTTATGAAGGGCTTTAACCTTAGCAACTTCAGTATTCATATTCAGAATTCAATATTCAGTATTCCCTGAACTCTGTAATGATGAGGCCAGCAGCTTTCTATGTGTCAACAGTCAGTTTTATTCGGTGCTATGGCCAAAAAAAATTTAAAAAATTAAAAAAAAAATCACCTGGTGGCCAGCCTTCTGGTGATAAGCCTCTCAGAACTTGCTTGGCTGGCCCTTGACCATTAAAGCAGTCTGTTGTGGGGTCTGGACTCAAAGACTTTCATGTAGGATATGCCAGAAACTGTGTTACATTGGCAAAGTCCTCAAGAATACAGGGTTGCTTCCATACTGCCATGAGGCAGTAAGGAAGGAAATACTCATGACATATCAGAGTATCCTTACTTTTTAGGACATCCAAATCACAGAATTTCTGTAGAGGAATCTTGACTATATATATATCTTGTATGTACCAAGTTATTCACATGCTGCCTCCCCTATTAGAATGGGAGCTTCTTGAGGGCAGGGACCATGTTTCTGCCTTTCTTTATCTATCTTTTTCTGCCTTTCCTTCCAAAACTTAGCACAATGCCTGGCACAAAGTAAATTCTCAATAACAACTTGTTAATTGACTAGGGAGAGAACCTTTAGGCAATTTGAATTAACATATTTTGATGTGCTTTTGATCCCCTATTTGAAACAGGCAAAAAGTGATTTAAAGGAACCCAAATGCATTCTTGTCAAGGGGCTTTGGATGTCATTAGAGACCCAGAAACAATTATCTGTTTTCCTGGGGCTGTGGTGGGGAGGGGGAATTGGATGGTGGTGGTAGAAGAGGGTGGGGAAAGGTCTGTGAACTTTCCCACATCCCTCTGATGATGAGAAAACCAGGCAGTTATATACAGTGTTACACCCACACCATCTACCAAGGACTACCAAGTCAGGGTCCTGAATCTGACACCTATCAATGAATGTGTAATTTATTTAACCTTATTGCTGTTCTTGGACAGAGAAATCCAATTGGCCCCATTCTTAGAGGAAAAAATAAACAAAAACAAAAAACAAAAAACCCCTGCTCTAATAAGAAAAAAAGAGCTCTAAATTTTAATTCTGAAATTCTAGGACTCTCACTTTAAAGTACAAATGGTAGATAGAAGACTAATTCTGTGGAACGATACTCACTGCCCAGAGAAGTGGAAGAGGCCAACTGGAGAGTGTTTTGAGCAGAACCAGCACGGTCAAGTTTTGTTCTTTGCTCCCCCAGTGATTTGGGCTCAACTCAAATGCTGTCCTTTTGGGTTTTGTTGTTTGAAACAGCTATGATGTCCCTCCCTCCCTGGGATGCTGTGAATAGAAATATCCTACTAACAGCTAAATGGCACCCAGTAATTTCCTTTCAGTAGAATTGAAAATTCTGCTCTTTTAATGTTATATATATATTCAACCCTAATTCCACCTCTTCCAAAAAGCCTTGCTGATGTCCCAATTGATAGTGACCTTACACTCCGTAACTCTTCTATGCAATTTTGTACCATTTTGATGGTGCCTGGGCTGGTATCTGGGCTAGTGAGTGCACCTGGAGTCAGAAAGATCTGAATTCAAATCCAGCTTCAGATACTTACTATTTATGTGATCTTGGGCAAGTCTCTTAACCTCTGTTAGCCTCAGTTTCTTCAACTGCAAATTGGGGGTAATAACAACACCTACCTCATTGGAAAAGACCCTGATATGGAAAAAGACTTAAGGCAAAAGGAACATGGATAGATAGTATCATGGAAGCAAGGAAAATGAGCTTGGACAGACTTCGGCGAATAGTGAGGGATAGGAGAGCCTGGATTGCTATGGTCCATGGGGTCATAAAAAGTCAGACACAGCTGAATGGCTGAACAACAACAACAAACCCTCACAGGGTTGCTGTGAGGATTAAATGAGATAATGTTTATAAAGTACTTAGCGTATGAGAGGTATAATATAAATATTTTTTTCCTTTTCCTATACTTGGTGCATAGCAGGTGTTATGTAAATTTTCTTTCCCTTTCCCCTATTTTCTGAACCACAGTAAATCATGTAGGGATCATAGTCTCCTTCCTGAGGGCAAGGCTCACGTCATAGCTAAAGTTTGTATGCCTCCTAGTGCTGATCCCAGTTGCTCTGTCCACCATAAATCCCTAATACAGTCATTGATTCGAATTGAGATAAAGTGGATTGTGTAACTACTCTAGCTAGAAGAACAAGTCCTGTTTCTGATACATGCCATATGTTTGACTTCGGGTAAGTCATTTTCTCTCCACGGCCCTCTCTTTTTTTCCACTATAATACGGGTTAGGGCTAGATGATTCTAGATGATTCTAAAGTTTGTGGCATTTATGTTCCCATGAATTACTTTAGACTTACAGCTGGAAGGGACTCCTGCAGACATTTGGTCCAACTTTTTCCATTTTACAGATGAGGATGCTGAGGCCAAGAGGGGTTAAGGTCACACATGTAAGCATCTAAGGACGGATTAAGCTGAGTTCTTTGTGTCTTCACTGTCACACTAGGCCAAGAAATCCTTGAGAACAGAGACAGTTTCTGAGCTCTGAAGATGTTTACTGAGTGGTAAATGAATGAAGTCAGTACCTATTGAAGCCTAACGGTCTGGCTATTTTCCTGAGTAAGAGGAAACCTACTTCTTTGGAAGTAGGTTTTGATAAGAACATTTTAAACCATACGCTTTCATTTTTTAAACATTCTTCACAGAATGTTGGAGGTAGAAAGATCATCAGGTATCTGGGTAGACCATCTCTTATTTTTGTTGTTATAGTTGTTCAGTCATTTTAGTTGTGTCCAACTCTTTGTGGCTCCATTTAAGGTTTTCTCGGCAAAGCTACTGGAGTGGTTTTGCTATTTTCTTCTCCAGCTCATTTTACAGATGAGGAAACTGAGGCAAAGAGCGACAGCTAGTAAGTGTCTGAGGCTGGATTTGAACTCGGGGCTTCGTGACTCCAGGCCTCATGCTCTATCCACTGGGCCACCTAGCTGCCCTTCATTTTACTGACGAGGAAACACCATGGTACAATGGAAAGAATACTTTGGAGTCAGAAAACAAAAGCTCAAACCACAGCTTTGCCAATGACTAGCTGTATGACCTTTGGCAAGTCACAACTTCTCTGGGCTTCAACTTCCTTATCCTTATTTTATGAGAAGGTTGGTGTAGATGACCTCTTTCAGTAGAGAAGGGACTTACCTGGCCCACGGGTTAGTTGCAGCTGGACGATACCCCGATATTCTAAACCATATTACTGGCTCTTTTCATCACAGCTGTCCTTGTTGCACCATGCAATTCATCTAGTCAGTCAACAATTATTTATTAAGCACCTGCTACATGTTAGGTACAGTGCTAGGTACTGGGGGATCAAATATGAAAGACTGAAACCTTCCTTATTCCCCAGGAGCTCACATCTGGTCAGTTATGCCTCAGTTTTCCTCCCATCAAGCCAGTTGGAAAAGACATAATGGTGCCACTTGGCCCAAGATAGTCTTTTCAGTGTTGTAGTTTGCAAAAAAGCTGGAAGCTTCTTTTATTTTATGTTTCCTGAAGTACTAACAATACTATTTTGGATTCTCTTTCCATCATCATTGCTGAACTGATGCTGGAAAGTTTGAGGCAAAAATCAGCACGCAGCTGAATTACAAACAAGTAGTAATCAGGTCTCTCCCCTACATCTGGGAAGCCGTACAATCACAACACCAAAGAAATTCTCTTTCCATTCTGATTTCCTTTAGATCTGGTTGAGATTCTGATCCATGTTGTCTTTATTTTAGTGGAAAGAAAAAAAATCTGCAAACCTGAGCAGTTCAAGCTGCCCATCTGTTGTACAGTCTGCAATGAGCTGACCTGGAGATGGGGGATTTGGGGGACTGGATGTGGGGAGTGGGTGGATGGGCCACACAGAACATGGCCTCCTTCCCAATTCTCTGAGTGCCTATTAAATCTGATATCCCAAATGAAACTAGGTCATGGCTTCCCCCACCAAAAAAAAAAAAGCATAATAGGATCATTGTTCAGGCGGGTGTCCCTTTCAGAATACAGAGAAATTAAAGTGAGCTTTGTTTTTAGCTGTTTATCTTGGAAATCATTAAGGTACACCATGACCCACCCCAAGTATGCCTGGAATTCCTCAACAATCTCCTAAATTAGCCCAGCCCCAGTGGGGCTGGTCATCAAAAAGCAAATTTAAAGATGAAAATGGGTGATGTTTGAGCAGCAAATTCAGGTTTTTGGTGACCTTGAAATGCCTATTATTTTGTCCCATCCCCACAATGATTTTTCAGCTTGCTTCTTCTTTGTCCCTGCATTTTTTTGAAACATTTTTAATGTATGAAGAGTTGGAAAGGATTTGTCTAGTTAACCAAATCATCAAAAGTAAACAAGGTCTGGAATCTGTGTGTGTTAGTTGCCAGATGCCTTCCAACAGGAGGAAAAAAAAGAGCCCGTTCACTTATCTGAACCGCTTAAATTACATGCCTTTGATAATTCAAAAGAACACCATTTCACTTGATCTACAATTACACCATGGTAATAATTTTCCTCCTACACTCAGGGCCAAAGCTGGCCTGTGGACATGAGGACTTTAGTAGATGCCATTTGTCATGTTTTCTCTTTATTCACTGGCCCTCATCAGTTTGGTAAAGTTCAGACTGATATGGTTGTTAAGAGAAAGATGACAGGAATTCAGAGAAATCTACAAGGGATCATAGGATCATAGGCACATAGATCTAAAGTGGGAAGGACTTCAATGAAATCACGTAAAGTGGGAAAAAAGCAGAATCGGAAGGGTGGAATACATGCTAATGACAATCATATAAGGAAAGGTGAATGATAAAGAATGCACTAAAAATACTGGAGACTCAAAGGGAATAAGGGACTGAAAAGTATTATGCATAGGAACGAGTTAACTTAAGTATAAATAATTACTAAGCAATTTACTTATATTACTGTTGAAGTATGTTTCTAATAAAACATTTAATTTTAAAAAAGAAAGTGAATGGTTCACATCTTTTCAAAAGTTAATAAAATATGTATGTTTTAAAAGCCTCCTTTAAAGTGTATTGGGAAGACTGGACAGAGAGGGCCTTAAAGTATGGTCAGGTCTGCACTTCATGGTGAGTTATACGAACATGCTCTACAGCCTGAGCCCTCTTTGGCCAGCCCCCATCCCCCATTCCAGCGGTTCATCTTCCATCAGTACAATTGCCACAAAAGAGCTAAAAGACAGTCTGGCACTTAGCCCAACTCCCTCACAGTAACAATTAAGGAATGAGAAGGGGAATAAAGGTGGAAGTTGGGAGAGAATAATGGAGATTCCAGGTAGGCATAATTGCTTATCTTTAGCTAGGATTTGAGAGATGGTGTTAGGTAGTGGAGAGAGGGTGAGCCTGAGGGTCCAGGAGACCTGTATTCAAATTGCTCCTCTGATGCATACTGACTACACGTCCATAGGGAATTCCTTCTACCTTTCAGTGCCACTGGCAGTGTTTAAAGGTTTTAAGTTGGAGAACAGTCCTTATTTCTTCATAACATGTCTTGTATGCGTTCACTTTTCTCTACTCACACTGCTGCTACCCTAGTGCAAGCCCCCTCTTCTAGAGATTTGCGGTTCTTACCGCCAACCTACTCAATAAATTCCAGTGCTTCATTCTTTCTTTGAGGACCAAATGGAAAATGCTGTTTGGCATTTAAAGCCCCTCACAACCTGGCCCCTTCCTATCTTTCTAGTCACCTTGCAATTTAATCCCGTCTACATTCTCTATAACCAATCCTTGTACGAGATGTTCCACCACCAGCTCTGTGGCTTTTTCCCTTATCTCCATGCTGGCTTCCTTTAAGATTCAGCTCCAATCCCACCTTGCGCAGGAGGTCTTTCCCAGCACTGACCTCTTCCCTCTCCCCCTCCCCACACATAAACACTGCCAGAGTCTTCTCTCTGAAATTGCCTTCCATTTATTCTCTCCGTTATCTTGTATGAACAGTTATTTGCATGTTGTCTCTCTCATTAGAATGGGAGCTCCTGCTGGAACAAAGAACTATTTGGGTTTTTTTGCTTCTCTATATCCCTAGTGCTTATATAGCACCTGCCACATTTTTAGATGTGTGTTGTTAGTTGTGTCTGACTTTATGACCCCATGGACTTTTTTCCATGGGGTTTTCTTGGCAAAGATACTGGAGTAGTTTGTCATTTCCTTCTCTGGTGTGTCCTTATTTTACAGATGAGGAACTAAGGCAAATAGAAGTGACTTGCCCAGGATCACACAATTAGTAAGTGTCCGAGGCCGGATTTGACCCCAGATCTTCCTGACTCCAACCCTGGTGCTCTATCCACTAGCCCAACTTGCCACTACTTACCACACAGCAAGCCCTTAATGCATGTTGACTGATTAATGTTGGTTAAGGGCGTTCCCTCCCTGTCCATTTTCTACACTGACAAAATCATAGATCCAGTCCAAAAAAAAAAAAAAAGAAAGGTAGGACTTGGGGCCTTAGAATTGAACTAGGTCACATCGATCATTTTAAAGAGGGAGAGACTGAGGCACAGAATATTGAAATGATAGTGGAAGGAGACCTACATCAAATGAAGCAAAGTTATAGCAAGTTAGTAACAACTACTTCTTGAAATCAGTTTTGGGTCCTGGACTCTTTCCAGATCTCTACACAAAAGGGCGTTTCTATGCAGAATCTCCTGGAAAACTCTTGTATAATAATCTCTCTCAATGTAAAAGCCTGGATTAGTCTCAGGACAGCTCAGAACTGTTTGTCTTTGCTTCCCTCTCTCTGAGTTGCTAAGGTTGATTAGAGTCAGGGTTCATGTTTCTTCCATTAAACCATCTCTCTGAGAGGTTTTGAAGAAGGATGTTAGGAGATGGGGGCTGGAGTCAGTATGTGAAAAATGCCATGTGTTTGTCCCCCCCGCTCTCATCCTACTTCAGCTGACACTCACTAGTAAATGCTCCTCCCCATTGCTTGTTATGAGGTAGGTGGTGTGGTTTGCTTGTAAATTATTAAAATGGAACATGTATTTATTTGATAAATCTATAATTGATTTCAATGATGCCAGACTGATTAGTGTAGCATCTCGTATCCAGAAGGATTCCACCAAAGAAGCTTGTAAAAGCAGGGAGGGGTTCAGAGAGTTAATTAATTCAGGTGTGAAATGTAGAAAAGGTGTTTTACTTGGCCACAGAGGGATACATCATGTCAGTGTACATTACAATCAGGCCTATGTTCCGTTGGTTTCTTGTGTTTTCATGCTTGGGTTGGATCTAAACGAGGAGAAAAATATTATCTGACTTCTGTGACCAAGCTTAGGCACAAACTGGGTTTTTAGAGCTTTGGAAATAGGACAGTCTGAGTTTTTCTTATTTGTTTAGTATGTGTATTGGAAACAACGCGGAACCTAGAAATTGTGTCTCAGGCAGTGAGGTGGTGTGGTAGATTGAGTAATAGACTTGAAGTCACAAAGACCTGAGTTCAAATCCAGCCTTAGATACTTACTGGCTATGCAATAAGTCTCATTATCTCTATCTGCCTCAGTTTTTTCCTCTGTGAAATGGAAATAATAATAGAATCTACCTACCAAAGTTGTTCTGAGACTAAATGAGATAATATTCATAATCAGCTTTGTAAATCTTAAAGGCTATGTAAATACCATCTATTATATTTATTAATTGTGTGACCTTGGGCAAGTCACTTAACCTCAATGGCTTCAATGTCCTCATATAAAACATGATAATAACAATAATACCTCCCCTGTTTACTTCATAGGGGATACTGTGAGGATCAAATTTATGAAGCATCTTAAGGTTAGTTACAATGTACTTCTCACATTTTGCTCATTTGATGTAGGTCTCCTTCCACTGTGAATTACCCTTGATATGCAATTGTGTCGATAATCCCAAACATGCCCATTTAGCATTGGGATAGGTTCCAGGTATTTTTACTCTATAACCTTTTTTCTTTGTTCCTCTCAACTCCACCAGGCTTATCTTCCTAATTATGTTTTGCTTAGGCTAATGTTGAAACGAGCTTGCATTTTCTGAGCTATATACAGAGTGACAGCCATAAAACGAGATCTGGGAACATGGCAAACTATAGGGGGAAACTGTCACAGTTGAAAACGCCACAAAATAAATAAGCAACATATAGATAACTGAGAATTGACTCCAGATTTTTTTCTTCTTTTGGAGGGGACAGGGCAGTGGTGGAATGCAGTGCTTCTATAATGGGCAAAGTGCAATGCATTTAATCAACCAACAAGCTTTTGATGCATTTGCATTTAGCTTAAATGCAAAAGGCATTTAAATTAAACTACTCTAAAAAGTCTTTGACTTGAAGATGTTTTCTTTTGTGGGTCTCAGTGTCTAACCTTCAATTCTGGAATTCTGAAACCTTTTTCTCTGAGACAAGCTAGAGGAGACGACACTTTAGGAGACAGTTTGGGAGTAAGGGGCTTCATTCATGCCACATTTCATTACAACTACAACACAGAGAAGAGCCAGGTAGTCCTGGAGAAAAAACTTAAATTAAATAAGGATGGGCATATTTCAGTGTGCTTGCTTCAAGGGGAGGGACTCCTGCAGCCAAATTCCCAAATTATTTGAAATACAAGGTATGCGAAGATTTCTGTCTATAGATTGAAGAGAAAAACTCACATCAAGAATTTCCTTATTGGCTTTTGGAGAAGTAGCTTCCCTTAATTCTTTAATGGCAACAGGAATCTTCACCTTCTCTCCTTCTGGAATCCATAGTCCCTGCAATAAGAAGAACAGGGAAGTCATTAGCTTGAAGGGCTCATCACAAGATATGGTTGGATTGCAAATGTGATTATTTTTATTGAAAATACTCCCCAGATAGATCCAAAGAAGATAACAGGAGGAAGTTCAGAAGGGAGTATAGATCAATCAGGTAATGTAATGGAACTTCCATGTTAAATTTAAGATACACTTGAAAAAAAAAACCCAAGCTATATGAACTAGAGATCCATGGAAACATGTACAATCCATTCATTCTGTTCTTTGTGTAAGGATATGTTCATGCTTGTTGATTTTGATCAAGTTCATAATGAAAATGAATATTTAAAAACGACGAACTCCAATTGGATGAAATGTTTCTAATCTAAGTTGCTGCCTGCCAAGGACTGCCAAGGACTATGATTTCTCTCGAACTGTTTAGAAGATAGGCTGCATTGCATGAATACATTTACCTAGATAAAGGATGTGGTAGTCATGAAACTAATGTATAACAGCAGACACTTTTAAGAAACAAATATGGGACTTAAAGAAATTAGACTATGGACAAGGAAGAATTTTAATTTTAATGGAAAACAAAACCTATTTTAGGACTAGATGCTATATGCCTTCAAAATGTTCCCTTTTCATGCTTCATTTATATTCACTTCATCACTCAAAAACAGGTTACTCTTCATGAAAAAATGTGTGGGGTCTATGGCATAGGTTGTCCCTAGGACCACTGATCGGCCACGGAAGCTACAAAAACTTGAGCAGTCTGAAGAAGACTTTGGAAGCTCCCAAATCTTTGATGTCACAAACAACTTGTGGTAAAAATAAGTAAAAATAGACACCTATAATACACACTTTTCTGCTGCCATTGCTTGTGGTACTTGGCATTTCTCACGTGTATGTCTCCCCATCCGCAGTCTATGTGTCAGACCAATCAAAGGCCTTTTATCCACTTTATGACTATGTGTCTGGATCATCTTACCTTATACACTGTGCCGAAAGCTCCAGAGCCAAGCACTTTGATCTTTTTAAATTCTGTCTCCTTTAGGATCCGTAAAAGAGCCTGGTTGGGAGCTTCTCCACTGGGGGTGAGAGGCTCGACTAGCTTTTAAGAAAAAAAATGAAAAGGACCTGTTGAAATATTGTGAATGATACATAGGGACAGTGAAAACCAGGAGTGTTGACCAGAGGTCAAATATTAATGAACAGCTGTGTGTAGTTCTTATTTAATCTCAATTAATTACCAGAAAAAAATTTTTTTTTTGCTTTTTGGTGAGGTAGTCGAGGTTAAGTGACTTGCCCAGGGTCACACAGTCAAATTACCAGAAAATTTTGAATAGAAAAGGGGTACTTTTTCCAAAAGAACATGAAGGGTGATTGGAAATAGCAACAATTCACATGTAAGCATTGCTTGCTTTGTGGAATATATATGTTCAACAAAGTTGGCTCTAGAACAATGTTTTATCAAGTGAATCATTTTATCCCATCACTTTGATTATAATATTGGACATGCGTTCCCATGGGAGGAAAAATTCCTCTCAGGCAAGAGCTGAAAACATTTGGTGAAGGTATCTAGGCGGTGGCCATCTTGATGGTATGCTGGGATTATAAGTGGAAGGGAACTCCGAGAGAATCTACTCCAACCCTCTCATTTTACAGAGGCCTAGAGCTTTAATTGCCTTGGCCAATGTCACCTAAGTAAGTAAACTTCAGAGGCAGGACTTGAAGCTAAAGTCAGTTCTCTCCACTGGCATTGTTGTCTAAAAATAATTGGTGGAAGTTGTGATTTCCTCCCTCTTTTACTATCAAGGACTGCATTAAACTTCTCATACTCTGCACACTATACAGTCTGGCATAGCCTTGAGTGCACAGTAGACGGTTAATTAATAGTTGCTGGCATGAATTGACTTATAACTCCAAGTATAGCATACCAAGTAGCTACCGAATGGAATCTTGTTGTGACATATGTATTTTCCATTCATGATATCATATTTTCTTAACTAAAGTCCTGCACCGATGCCTCATCATGGTATGGAGACAACTCTGAGTTCTCTAATATTATGAAAGCTTTGGCCTCTAAGAAGAGGTCCAGTGGTGGACTGTGTGTCAATTACCTGAAGACCAGCGTAACTAAAGTTGGCTTCACTCACCACTTGAAGGTTAATAAGAAGTAAAATTTGAACCAGGTCCCCTGACTCTGCAAGTAGAGCACTTTCTTTTCTTTTCTTTTTTTTTCAAATTTTTAAAAAAATTTTTTCCATATGCTTTTGAGTTAAAAATTTTTCTCCCTTTTCCTCCCCCCTACCCTCCCCAAGATGGTGCACAATCTGATATAGGCTTTACATTTACATACCCATTAAACATATTTTCACATTAGTGAAGTTGTAAGTAAAAATTAAAACCAATAGGAGGAACCATCAGAAAGATGAGACAAAACTCAACAGAAGGTAAAAATAAGTGAGAGCGATTCGACTTCCATAGTTCTTTCTTTGGATGTGGACAGCATTTTCCATCCCAAGGCCTCTGGAGATGTCTTAAATCCTCGTAATGCTGAGAAGGGTTCAGTTTAACAATCTTAGTCATTACATAACGTGGCTGTTATTGTGTACAAAGTCCTCTTGGTTCTGCTCACGTCACTCAGCATCAGACCATATAAGTCTTTCCAAGTTTTTCTGAAGTCAGCATGTTCATCATTTCTTATAGCACAATAGCATTCCATTACATTCATATACCACAACTTGCTCAGCCATTCCCCAGCTGATCGGCGTCCTCTCAATTTCCAATTCTTTGCCACCACAAAAAGAGCTGCTATGAATATTTTTGTACATGTGGGTCCTTTTCCCATTTGTTTGATCTCTTTGGGATATAGCCCTAGAAGTGCTATTGCTGGATCAAAGGGTATGCACATTTTTATAGCCCTTTGGGCATAGTTCCAAATCGTTCTCCAAAATGGTTGAATCATTTCGCAACTCTACCAACAATGTATTAGTGTTCCAATTTTCCCACATCCTCTCCAACATTTATCATTTTCCTGTTTCGTCATGTTGGCCAATCTGATAGGTGTGATGTGGTACCTCAGAGTTGTTTTGATTTGCATTTCTCTAATCAATAATGATTTAGAGCATTTTTTCATATGACTATAGATGGCTTTAATTTCTTCATCTGAGAACTGTCTGTTCATATCCTTTGACCATTTATCAATTGGGGAATGGCTTGTGAGCACTTTCTACTATATTATAACTTGTATAATATGTACAAGTTATTATTTCCATAATAACCTCTCAGTTGGGAGAGATGGGATCCTGGACTCTTACCTCCCTTTCTTGCAGTAGCCTGCGCAGCGTGCGTTTGCGGACAATATGGCGCCTTCTAATGAAGAGACCGATGCCAAGGATCAACACCATCAGTAAGAGAAAGCCACCCACAATTCCAGTGGCTATGGAAGGGATCTTGGGGCTGGAAAGAAGGAAAAAGAGGAAAACATGTTTTATGGGCTTGTCAATGAAATAAGATTGAATATATTTCTTGTTTTGGCACAGTGGCCTTCTACCCCACAGCTAAAAATCATCATCAAAGACAAAAAACCGTAACCTATAAATGCCAGATACCATCACACGAGAATAAAAGGCATAGGAAGTAGCTGCCTTAATTTCCTCTGTAGGGGCAGCTAGGTGGCACAGTGGATAGAGCGCCAGTCCTGAAGTCAGGAGGATCTGAGTTCAAATCTGGCCTCAGACCAAATATTTGACATTTACTAGCTGTGTGACCCTGAACAAAGCACTTAAACCCAATAGCCTAAAAATAATTTAAAAAAAATTTTTTAAAAAATTCCCTCTGTAGGGAATGGGTTAGGATCCAGTCAAGGCTGGAAGCAGCAAAAGCAGCAGCTTGCACAACATTCAAAGCACAAAAACAGCTAGTATGGAATAAGAAGGCAGGGTAAAACAATAGGGAACACATAAAAGAAGTGATCAGTATCAGGGCTTGGAAACAGATAAAGGTAAAGGGGGAAGGGATGAATGGGTGTCTTGCTCTTGCCTTAAAATCACAGAGAAAGTCAAATAAATAACAGTGCCAAGTAATCTGTCCATGAGAAGGGGAAAGTCAACTTTTTTTTTTGCACTTAATAGTATTTTATTTTTTTCCAATTACATGTAAAGATACTTTTCAGCATTCATTTTTGTAAGATTTTGAGTTCCAAATTTTTCTCCTTACCTCCCTTTCCTCCCCCTTCCAAGACAGCAAGCAATCTAATATAGATTACACATGTACAATCATGTTAAACATATTTCCACATTAGTCACGTGAAAGAAGAATTAGAACACAAGGGAAAAATTATGAGAAATAAAAAACCAAAAAAAAAATGAAAATAGTATGCTTCGATCTGCATTCAGACTCCATAGTTCTTTCTCTGGATATAGATAGTATTTTCCATTATGAGTCTTTTGGAACAATCCTGGATCACTGTATTGCTGAGAAGAGCTAAGTCTATCATAGTTGATCATTGCACAATGTTGCTGTTACTATGCACAATGTTCTCCTGGTTCTGCTCACTTCACTCAGTATGTAAGTGTTTCCAGGTTTTTCTGAAATCCACCTGTTCATTTCTTATTTCTATAAGAAATAAGTATAGTATCCTGTTACATTCATGTACCACAACTTGTTCAGCCATTCCCCAATGGATGAGCATCCCCCTCAATTTCAAGTTATTTGCCACCACAAAAAGAGCTACTATAAATATTTTTGTACATGTAGGTCCTTTTCCTTTTTATGATTTCTTTGGGATATAGACCTAATAGTGGTATTACTGGATCAAAGGGTATGTACAGTTTTTTGTAGTCCTTTGGGCATAGTTTTAAACTACTCTCCAAAATGGTTGGATCATTTCACGATTCCACCAACAATGCATTATTGTTCCACTTTTTCCACATGAGGAAGTCAAATCTTTTTTTAAAAATTAATTTATTTTGATTTATCAACCATCACTTCCATAAGTTTTTGAGTTCTAAATTTTTCTCCCCCTCCCTCTTCACCCCCCTCTCCAAGATTGCATGCAATCTGATATAGGCTATACATATACATTCCTATCAAACATATTTTCACATTAGTGATGTTGTAAGGAAGAATTAGAACCAATAGGAGGAACCACCAGAAAGAGGAAACAAAACTCAACAGAAGAGAAAAAAAAATAGCAAATAGTATGCTTCGATCTTCATTCAAACTCCATAATTCTTTCTTTGGATGTAGACAGCATTTTCCGTCATGAGGTCTTTGGAGATGTCTTAGATCCTCGCATTGCTGAGAAGGGATAAGTCTATCAATATTAGCCATCCCACAATGTGGCTGTTACTGTGTACAATGTTCTTCTGGTTCTGCTCACTGAGGAAGTAAAATCTTAAAGACCAGCTTTAATCAAAGCTCACTAGTTGAAACCCACCAGAGAAAAACATGTCTGAATTAGTAAAGGCTGAATTTAGACTGTTTTTGAGACCATAGTTACTACTTTAAAGTATCTCCAATAATCTGAATGTTATATTGGCATTATTACCATCAGTGAAATGGAGAACATAAACATGATGCCAGAAAAACAATGGCAGTTGACAACCCTGCCCACCTCTGGTCCAGACTACTGCAACAGTATTCAAATAAGTCATGTAGCCACTGGTCTCTTACCACTCTAATCCATCCTCCACTCAGAGGCCAAAATGGCCTTGTTACCTCCCTGCACAATGGGTTCCAGTAGGTCCCTATTACCTCCGGGATCAAATATGAATTATCTATTTGGCATTTAAAACTCTTTGTAATCTGTCCCTTTTCTACCTTTCCAGTCCTTCACATTTTACTCCCACCGTATGCTTCCCTGCATTGCTACATTTGCCTAGCTGCTTTTCCTTGAAAAGGCCACTCCATTTCCTGGCTGACCCCCAAACCTGGAATACTCTCCCTACTCACCTCCACCTGTCATTGTCAGGCTTTCTCCAAGGCTTCCCTCAGATTCCACCTCTTGTAGGAGGGCTTTTCTGATCCCTCAGCTGGTGGCACCTTCCCTCTTAGATTACCTTCCATATAATTCTGTATGTATCTTGTAATTAACTAAATTATTTACATATTGTCTTCCCCCTTGAAAAGTTAGCTCCTTGAAGGTTAGGAATTCTTTGTTTAGCCTTTCTTTGTATCTCTGGTGTTTAGCACAATATCTGACTCATAGTAAATACTTAACAAAAACTTGTTGATTGACTGATTAGTGAATCAGTAGACGTATACCTGCAATACTTACCCAGGTGTGGGACAGCCTTCAAGACCTGGACCTTCACACCTGCAGAAGGAAGAAGAGGGAAAAAAAATCAGCTACCACACCTTAAAAAATTAATCAAAGTCAACAATTCTACTGCATCCTTTTGGTCACAAATGAATTCTCATTGCTTCCTTTTAATCTTAAGATCAGCCTATGTGATAAAATATATTAAATCCCAAAACTACATTTACATTGTGCTTTAAAATTTGCCAAGTGATTTACATGTATTTTCTCTGATAATTGTATTAATGGCATGGCCTAAGTTGAAGGAATATAATAAATATGTTTCCTTTAAATTACCAGATACAGAAATGTCCCATAGGCATACGTTTCTCACAGTGGTCTCTATGTCTATGGGTAGGACTATATATGTGTATGGCTACTGTCCAGATGAAAAGTGAAAAATGCAGTCACTCTTGAAGATATTTCCAGATGTGTAGCACTGTATAGAGAGAAAGCATCTGGATGCCTGGCCCCTAATTTTAGGTGAGTGAAGCTAAGAAAATTCAAGTGATATAAATATGAAAACCAGTTCCTGTTCCTTCCTCTGGACCTTTTACATTTTGAAGGGTAATTAGACAATAGCCCAGATGTCTACTGTTACTGCTCAAACTCACTACCTGGTAGGCTCACCTCTTTTTCCCATCATACATGTCTTTGATGAAGTGCCTTATCCTACTTTTTGCATGCAAGATATCATTAGAAGTATATGGCAGCCTCCTTATCTCCAGCATGGTACCCCTTATGTCCAGGCCTTAATACAATGCCTAGCACATAATAAGTACTTAACGAACACTTGTTGACTTAACCTGCACTTTGGATTTTTTAGAGATTATGATGTTTCCTGATTGACAGTCATATAGTTGCAAAGTTGTCTATCAACATATTAACTGCTCAGAACTAGTTACTATAGACTCAGATAAGTGGCTGGGGGTCTGGCTGACCTTGAAGTTCAGCAATAATGGGCTCAGGTCCTGCTTCTAACACAGACTAGCTGCCTGACCATGAGCATGTTCCTTATCTTCTCAGTGCCCCCTGACAACTTTCACTAAGAAGAAATGATGGGTGGGATATAGATTTGAACTAGTAGACAAAGTTTCCATACCAAGAGTATTCTGTTCTGATGAAATAATTGGTGTGGACCCCTTTCTTTCTCCACTACTACCTCCTCCCTCCTTCCCCACTCCAAGTAGAGAGATCCATTTTTTTTCATTACTATCAAGATTTTTAAAAATTAACTTTTTCCAGAATTATTAATCTGAATTTAATTTAGCTGGTCAGTTTCTGTTTAATTTATGGCCTTTTGGAGGTGAAACAAATTATAATAGCATAGGTTACTTCAAGCCCTAATCAAAATGATAAACTATCTTTTTATAATTTCCTAAGCTTCCCAAGACCTTCCCATGACCTCTACTTTTCATTCATTGTCCCAATGCCAAAGGAAAATGAAGATCTGAGTTCCAACTACTGAAAATTCCTCCTGGGTGCTTTGTTGAATTAATGGAAGAATTTATAAACCTGTAGCCATGAAATTTGTGGGAGTGAGCTATCGGCGATAAAGCCAAGCGTTATTAATTACAGAGCAGTATTTCTTTTCATATTCCTTACTCAGCTCCTTTGCCACCTGAGGTTAAAGTGATTTGTGGTCCCAGGAGAAGAGAAGTGCAGAAAATAGAAACTATTATAAAAGTTTAAAGGTTTAATCACATTAACATGTTCCCTCAGCCACTGGGATTATAACCTAGTTAGCATCTTGTCTATTAAAGACTCTTTTCCCTTGAGATGATAGCTCTAAATGCTAATTGTGTAAGCAAATGTCACAAATAGATTGCGGGGGGGGGACCCCAAACCCATATTTAGTGAAGATTTACTTCCTATCCCTCTTGAGGTTATGCTGAGCCAGACGAGGCCTAAGGATGGACAAATAAGCCAGGCTCAGAATTAAAGGAGATGAGATTGGATTGTACTTGGGAAACTGACTAGTGCTTTCAGCAATTCCCAAGCTGCTCAATGATATATCAATACATCTTTTAAAAAAAATACCAAGTTTTGGGTAATTCTATCTGACTACTTGTGGGTTATTGCTATCAAAGAATCAAAACTGCAGGGACTCCAAGGGGTAGATGTACGGTGGGTGTAAGAGGGCCGTGGAGTATTACTGCCAATGATGACTCATACACAGGAAGTGTGTTACCCAATACTTCACTGAGCACACGTGTGGCTAGAAAAGGAAAGAGGTTGGTTGCATAGTGAGAGGAAGAATTAAGAGCTTGTTGTTAAGTCATTTTACAGCTGTATCCGACTCTTCATGATCCCATTTGGAGCTTTCTTAGCAAAGATACTAGAGCAGTTTGCCATTTACTTCTCCAGCTCATTTTACAGATGAGGAAACTGAGGTAAACAGGATTCAGTGACTTGCCCAAGGTTACACAGCTAGTTGGTGTTTGAAGCCAGATTTGAACTCAGGAAGATGAACCTTTCTTCTTGATTCCAGACCCCACACTCTATCCACTGCACCACCTAGCTATCCTATAAGAATGACATAGGAAAATATTTGGTAAAGTATCTCATTCTATCCTTAGAATAGAGCATAAATTTAGAGTTGAAAGGGACTTGTGAGGTCATCTAGTCCAATCCCTTTGTTTTACAGATGAGGAAACTGAGTCTCTGGGAAGAGAAGTGACTTGTTCAATATCACACAGATAGGCCATGGCATAGCTAGGATTTGAACCCAGATTTTTATCTCCAATTCCAGTGCTCATTCTACTGCACTGGTAGCCTAGAATATTAAAACCCTGGGGAGAATTTTCAGTGTGCCATATGGATCCTGTATGGAGGATTTATTGGAGCCTGTGAATGAAAATCATACAGAGAGAGATGATATGGATAAGTCATGATCTCACTAGTGCAGGGAGTAGGCACCCAAACCCATGAAATCATAGATGTGTTGAAATTTCATACTATATTTAGCAAAGACATGTTGCCTTTAGTATAAGGAGATAGGGCTTCTGATCAACTATCAAGAAGGTATGTTGCCTAATATCAGGCTGATTGGGCTCTTGAAAATAATGAACTCTGGACTTCAAAGACAGCATGCAGGAGATGTCAGATAGGACTCTTAATGATGTGATGACGATAATGAAAAATTTTAATAAGCATTGGAAAGACTACAAGAGCCTTGGTTTCCTGGTTAATGGTGTTCACTTTCATTATGACATTCACTCTGAGTTAGGGAGGTTTGGAAAAGTCTCAAAAATGTTGTGTGACTGATTATTTACACTTTTTGATCCTCGCTATTAGGCTCCTCTGAACTTAGTTCTTTTTTCTCTAATCAAACTAGAAACAAGGATGCTGAATGGAATGAGCGTGTTATAAGAAAATATCAAAATTCAATATGAAAAAATTGAATAACTACTCCTATGGCCTGCTTTTATGACCACTGTAGCCTGTACTAGCACTAGGCTTACCTTCCTGTGCCATCAATCCTGCTGAGGAGATGCTGCTCCAGGAAGATTTTTGCATTCATATTATATGAGATCATTACTCAACCCAGCCACTAAGAGAGTCAAATATTAAACCCATGAACTCAGACCAACAAAGAGGAACTAGTTCAACTACTTGGTTGTGTTAATGTTGATGCAACATTAGCTTCTTGTCGATTGCTTTCCGAAAAATTAGTTTGTAATTTTATTTTTTGCTAGGCAGCTAAAGATTTTACTTACCCATAGGTACAATTGGGATGGCATCGTTGGCAAACCTTATTTGCATCAGCATATTTCCAGACCAAGGTATCATTTTCTCCCATGATTCCAGCTGGACAAGTCTTGACACAGTGTGGACCATCTATATAGTGAGCACATTCTATGCATTTGTCAGGACCCTAGAAGAAAACAAAGTAAATTTATAAGCCTTCATATCCTTTAAGGTAGAAAACGTTTTCTTCAACTCTGTATTTTATCCTAAGAAGGAAGAAAATAAGAAAGCCAGATATTCCAACCCAGATATTGAGTCGATGTGGTATAATGGGAAGATCTCACTAGATTTAGACTCAGAGGACCTGAGTCTGCCATGAAAAACACTTAAGGAGCAAGCCACTTGACCTCTCCCTCATCTTTAAAATGGAGAGGTTGGACCACATGATTGCTAAACTCCCTTCAGTTTCTAAATCCTAATTCTGAATCCTTCATTTTGTCTTTGCTTAGACATTCAATGAGGGGAACCCTACCACTTCAAGTCAGGTCATTTCAATTTGGGGCAGCTCTAATAGTTAGAGAGTTTCCCCCTACATTAAGCCTAAACTTGCTCTAAACTTTCACTCCTACCCTTTCCCCCCCACTGGGGACTGGGGGTAATCAAATAGAATAAATAAAATCCCTTCTCCATAATTCTTAAAGATAGCTATATTGTGCACCTTCCCTGTGCTTCCTCCTGTCCTTTGAGGCTTCTCTACATAAGGCTTAATATACGTAATTCTTTCAAGCAGTTCTCAGAAGGCACAGACCTAATGCCATGGAAACAATCCTGGGTGCCCTTCTCTGGAAGTTCTCCAATGTCCATCATAAATTGAGTCAGCCAGAATATTTATGAACAAGAAGAATATGAATCACTAATACAATTAATAGGCCAAGCCCCGTGACTTCCTTAGTAGGAACTGAGTAGAGGAATTTGTATCATGTAGCATAGTGCTGTGTGTGTGTGTGCTTATTGTATAATCATGGGCTCAGAATTAGGCCCAGAAGGGAGAACAAGAATGTTAAAGGATAAATACCAGTGAAATTTTACTACCTAGGATGCTTTACTATGAAGCTTCCAGGGGATGATTCTAAGCTATTCTGTAGCAACCTCTGTAGAGGTTATGGATTAAGACCAGTGTACTCTCTGAGTAAATACAGAAAAAGGTTTGATGCGTATTCAGGCAGTGTTGGCCATTTGTGAGCCGGGGATATCAGATATGCTCCTTACCGGTCCTGTGCAGGTTTGATTCATCACCTGAGGCAGACACTCAGGGTGGCACTGCAGACATTTCAGATTCTCCATGTACTCCCTTGGTTCTCTGGGAGAAGAAGAAATGAAGAAAACTGATCAGTCCTACTGATTGGAATCCTGGAAGAGTCTCTTGTTACTCAATGCAGTTTCAGACTGGCTCAGATGGCAGGTTTACAATCATGTGTAAGACAAATATCTCTATGGGACCCAACACTGAAATTCAGCCAAACTTGGTGGCATTGATCTGAGATCAAACAGGTGTAACACCAGAAAAAAAAAAAAGATGACTCATTACTGGTTTGGATTTATTGACTACACCCATATCACCTGGGCCTATAGTCATCTGCATGCTAGAGAAAAGCATAACAATGAATATAAATATAATGTTTATATATTTTTGTTTTTATATAATATAAATATAACAAATTTATATTTATATAATATAAATATAATAAAAACATCTTTCCTACATTTCTCAGAGGCATGCTTTTAAAAATAATCCAAGAAAAATCTTAAGTAACCTCACAATGAGATTATAAACTTTGAAAGTCATAGGTAGGGAAACACTAACTGTAGAATAGGGAGGAAGCAAAGTGAGGTGTATTAACCTTCTATTAGTGAAGGATTATTAATAAGCTACACATGTGAATCAGATTCCTCCTACCCCTCATCCCTCACCCCTAAGATTTTACTTAAAAATTTTTTTCAAATAAGTTGTAATGCAGTTGAAGAAAAAGTTGATGTCCGATTCAAAAGATGCAATGGTGATGACAGATGTTAAGAAAAGTGAAATGTGGATGCTGATTAAGTCCATGTCTTTGCTCTAGACAGCACACAGTAAATGCTTAAACATGTAAATTTGGCACAGATGGTTCAGACTGCAAGGAAGCACTTTCATTTGAAGCAACTGGTATTCATTAAATCAAATCCTCCTCATAATTTGACACCCAAATTCATCTCTTCTTTTATTGTAGGCACTTGACGAAGGGAATTTTCCTGCAAAGGTCCCAGTTACTGAATGGTAAGTTGCTATATACTAATATGAAAGCTTCTAGTTAGGATACCACAAATGTTATTTAATTAGGCTTGGTTACGCTGTTTCCTTAATAAGAATTGAGCTGGAAGTATTTATACATGCCGATGTGGTTGTGCAAACATTCCTTCCTTGATGTTAACACTTAACAATATACTAATTGAACATAGTTGTCTCTGCAAGGGTAGTAATCCCAGCCCAATGAATCTTGGAGAACTCATCTTTGTTTTCTGGCTACCTTCCACAGTCTGGGTGTGATTCAGGATAATGGACATCAGCTTGATTACATTATGTCCAGACCTGAAGAAATCTGGGAGAAGGTTGGAGCTCCTACCTTCTTACATTCCTACCTAGGAATATCAAGTCTTCTCCATTATTTAATTCCATCTTCGTGAACTCTGTACTTTATTTATATCTAGTTATGTTTCTGGCCCCTGTTTTCTCCATTTCAACTTCAAAATTGCCTCTTGGACTTCCATTGGATTAATCCAAAAGCTGTTAAACATTATGCTGAGTCAATTCCAAGGTTCCCACAGTACTAGTGTACTCTGTAGGTATGCTGCTTTGTAGTCAAATGTCTTTCTAATTCAGAGTTGCATTTTTGCTTTTCTCAGGGTTTTCCAGGCACAGAGCAGAAGCACCAAGAAAGAGAATGTGTATAGATACCACTTGGAGATGATGTGGCATCTTTGGGAAAAGTATATTAAATCTAAAAAGCTTGCACGGCTTTGGTCCTGACTGGCTCCAGATGCTTTCTGTCCCTATCTATGAACACTTTCATAACTGAGATCAAAATCACTCTGACTTTTCAAAGAAATTCAGATAAGCCAGACTGAAGATAATAAGGTATAGATATAAACATATAGAAACAGAAACTCTATAGCCTGATTCTATACTCCACTCCAGTATTTAAAATCTTGGCGTGAAAATAATTGTCTTAATTTTTTTTTTCCTTGGGAGAGGGATGGTGGTATCCTACCTCCCACTGTGGAAATCCCTTCCACTGAAACTAATTCAATTCTTAGAGAATACCTGAAATCCAGAAAAGTAAGGTGATTCCCTCATGGTCATATGACCATATGTGGCAGTCAGGATTGATGCCATGTCTTCCTGATTTTAAAACTAGACCACTGTTCACTCCACCAATAGGCCTTTCTTCAAGCAGATGAAACGTAATTATTCAGCAGCTGATAACTGATGCTCTCCATTCCTGCTGTGATATTTAGTAGCTGTGCGACATTAAAAAAGTCACTTCAGTTCCCCCATGAACTACTTTTCTCATCTTTAAAAAGAGAGGGTTGGGCCTAGATCATTGCTTATATTCCTTCCTACTCTAGAGCCTATGATTATAATTTTTTTTTCTGTTGAAGGTAGAATAGTAATAAATGGTTTTAAGATGCAATAAGAGGTTTAGAATCAACATTTAAAAAAAAAAGAATTACAAAGCATAACGATGCTAAAAATAGAAGATCTGGTCCAAAGCCCTCATTTTATTGAGGAGGGATCTGAAACACAGAGAAGAGAAATAATGAAGGATACTAAACATTGCAATGGGTTGGAAATGGAAGTTAAAAGTAGCATCAAGTTTTCTTTTTCTGAGAAAGCTTACACAGGCTCTTGCCTTAAAATGAACCTTTTTACATCTGTGATGGAGACCTAAGGCTTTATGGACAATGGGGAAGGGAAGCATGCTCTCTCTTTTGTCAGACCAAGGTCCCAACCCACACACACACATCTGGACACAAACTCACTAAGTTATAGTATCACTACAGTTTCCCAGAAAATTCCTTGAATCCACACGAATTCATTTATTTTGCAGAAAACCCAAACCCAAATTTATGTGGTCAATATTTGTGTAGTGATGACTAAATTAAGCAGCTGTTTTGGGGTTAAGCAAACATATATCCAGAAAGTTAATGCCCGTAGAAAGTTAACCCCACTGCCCCAGGCCTTGCAAATTGATCCAAATTTGGAGGTGGGCAATTGCACTTGAGAAGCTTAGGATGAAACAAAAACCACAAGTTTGAAGGAAGCAGGCCTTGGAGAAGTAATGAATGAAAAGCAGAGCTGCTCCTTTAGGGGGGAAGTGAAGCATCCTGAAAAATGAAGCCAAAGCCTGAAGAATACATCTCCTTCAGAGGACTGGCTAAGTGAGGAAACATGATCCTGTGGTATTTGCAGAACATTTTGTTTTGCATCTCAAGTAAAATTATTTAACAAAGAGTCATGAGTCAGGAAGAATAACTTTTCAAGCCTTAGCATGAAGAAATGAATAAGAATTATAATATATGTGATTGGGATTTTATAGAATGTCAGTTTCTCAAGGCACAGGGAAAGCCCAGGATTTAGCAAACAGGGGGCATAAGCTTTCCTAATTTTGATTTCTTAAGCCAAGGGAAGGCATTGGAGAATATGCTGAGATCAAAGACAGTTCTCAACATTTGTTATAACACTTGACACTTTACAGAGTGCATTCCCATACGTACTTCTTCCCATTTGATCTTCACAACAAGCGCACAGAGTAACTGGGAGAGGATAAATAAAGAAGAAATACGATCCCACCCAACTACTTGGATTCGTTTTAGGTTGGATTATAATGACTGTAAACCTGTGACCCTCAAGAGAATAGTCATTTTTAGGACCCTTCTATTTCTATGGTGGTTTAGGATTTACAACAGCTTTATCATTAAGAGCCTTGAGGTTAATCCCAAGGGTGTGATAGACCTTTACAGGATATACCTGAGACTATGGGTTTCCAACCGAATGGTAAAAAGGAGCAGAGAATTCAATACCTCATCTGGGCACCATGAGCACAAATATCCACAAATTGTGTTAACATATGGAGACAATGGTTACCCAGAATCATCTTCATGGTGTGATTAAAAACAAAAACAAAAACAAAAAACCAAAGTGGATCTTCTCGGCAAGACTCTCAATCCTTCAATTATTGGGACTAAATTCAGCTTACTGTGGAGGGTGACGTCCAGAGGCTAAATTGATCAATTCTTAGAAATTTTTTGGAAATTTTTAGAAATAATTTAGAAATTAGGAGTGCAAATGGATGTACTTACGTGGATTCCTAAATTTGTAACATTTATAGCCCAAAATAGAATAGGTTGCACCACGGGGCAGTGAAGGTTCCCCATAACTGGAAGTCTTTGATCCCATGGTAGATGAATATTGATTAAGAATGATGTACATTATGGGGCAGCTAGGTGGTGCAGTGGATAGAGCAACGGCCCTGAAGTCAGGAGGACCTGAGTTCAAATCTGGCCTCAGACCAAACACTTGACACTTACTAGCTGTGTGACCCTGGGCAAGTCACTTAACCCCAATTGCCTTAAAAAAAAAAAAGAATGATGTACACTAGATTCTTTTTTTCTGGGATGGTTTAGGTAGCCAATGAGGTTCCTTTGAATTCAGATCATGTGATTCTGAGCAGGGTTGTGGTGGGTATCAAATGAGATAACATGCAAAGCACTTTGCAAACCTAAAAATACATATAAATGCTACCTATTTTTGTTACTGTTGTTGTTATAAATTATTAACTTATAAACAAGGCAGCAGAGTGTAGTAGAAAGAGGACTATATCAGGAGATGAGCTCCAGGGGTGGGGAACCTGCTGCCTCAAGGCCACATGCGGACCTCTAGGTCCTCAAGTGTGTCCCTTTGACTGAATCCAAACTTCACAGAACAAATCCCCTTAATAAAAGGAGTAGGTCACTAAATTAAAAAAGGAGGTCACTTAACCTCACTAATCTCACTGTGTCTGTATTAGTGGAGGCAGCCCGCATAGGGATGAAAGCACAGGTACAGATAAAAGGATCATATAGTATATGCACTACAGATTTCATTGAATTTCTTTGGGGAAAGTATTTTGGAAACTTTGAAGTATGGCCATAAATGAGACCTTATTTTATGGGGAAGCTATGAACTCTGGAGGAGATTTTGCAAACAAGTAGAAAAAAATAACTATGGACCTTTAAAAATTAATCTTTCCAATGACATGAGCATTTTCCTTTTTGGTCACAATAGAGAAATCCAAAGAAAAAATTCTTACCCTTCTAGAATGTTACATTTCTCAACACACTTCTTGTGACGGCTCACATAGCGACAGGACAGGCAGTGGCTTGGCTTTGGACCCCAGCAACCATCGGGTGAGCACAATTCATGACAAACATGGCCCAGAGTCCCTGAGGAAGACAAAGTAAGTTTCATGGGAGTGGCTCAAGTACCCCAGCTACTTTAGGACGTGAATCCTCTGGTTTCTGTGTTGTACAATGTTTTACAGAATCTCAAAGTTGGAAAGAGTCCATCTAGTCCAAAATAGATGTTTATAACCTATGTGACCTTGAGCAAATTCATTTCAACTTCTTATGCCTCGATTTCCTAATCTTTAAAAGGAGGGGGTTGTATTAGATGGTTTCAGATCTCTTCCAACCTTTGTTCTATGATCTGAAACACTTGACCAAGAGTCTCCAATAAGTGGACATTCAGTTTCATCTTGTAGGCCTTCAGTGACGAAGTTTACTCCCTCCAAAGGCAGCATAGTCCATGTTTTGAGAATTCTGATTATCAATAACAGCATTTATATAGTGGCTACTATGTTCCAGGCACCATGCTAAGTGCTTTACAAATATTAATTCATCTGGTCCTCACAACAACCCTGGGAAATAGGTACCAAAATTAGTCGTATTTTACAGTTGAGGAAACTGTGGCAAAAGGGATAAGTGAATCACTTATAGGATAAGGATCACACACCTAGTAAGTGTTGGAGGCTGTATTTGGATCCAGGTCTTCCCGACTCCAGGCACAGTGCTCTATCTACTGGGCCACTTCATTGCCATGAGGTAGTTTTTCCTTATGCTAAGCACAAATACTCCCCTCTGCAATCCATTCTTGCTACTGAGATCATGCAGAACAAAGCTAATCCCATTTCCAAATGATAGTTCTCCAAATCTTAAACAAAGCTTGTCTCTGCTGTTCCTAAACTATGTTGCCCAGAACTGAGCACAGTACCCCAAACATGCTCTGACCACATCAGAATGTAGTAGAATTATTACAGCTACATAGTATAGTAGAATTATATTATAGGGCAGCTAGGTGGCAGAGTTGTTGGAGTGTTGAATGTGGGATTAGGAAGACCCGAATTCAAATCTTGACGTAGATGCTTTGACCAGTTGTGTGACCCTGGACAAGTCACTTAACCTTCCTTGGCCTCAGTTCTCTCATCTGAAATGCTAGTTGTTTTTGTTGTCATTACTATCATCATCATTTTTATTAGTAGTATTAGCATTATTACCTCCACCAATCTGGACATTATATCTGTCTTCGAGCAGGCTTTGAACACACTGAGGGTTTTAATCAGAGGGCAGTCAGTACCGCATGATTAGAAAGCTGAGGCTGGATGGTTTTTGACTATTACCCTGTGAACTTGTTTCACCTTGTAGTCTGCTAAAAGACTCTCCTTTTCATCAAAATTGTGGTCTCCCAGCTACAGTTTCTACTTTCTGCATTTACAATGTTGAATTTTTATCTTGTATCATAGGTATGCTGATATGTTACCATGTGTGTAATAAGGATTTAGGAAATTCCTGAAGACTGGTTATGCAATATACTACTCATTTTCCACTTGAGAATCTCAGTTTATTTATTATATCAAAATATTGTTTGGGAAAGCAGAAAAGGCAGGGGCTACTGGAATCATAGTGGCAAACAGGACTTATTCTGTTATAGATACCGAAGCTTAAAAGCAAGCTTCTTATATCTAGAGTCAGAACAATAACAATAATGGAAGTATTTTAAATTGGAAAGTAGACTGATGTGTAGAAATGACTCCACATCTTTAATTTGCATGTTGATTATTTTCATCACTCTGAAAACTCATCGTTAGATAAGCTCAGTTGGGGTAAGAATGATTAAAATAGTTCTAATCTGGATCACATAAACGGATGGAGAAGCTAGGACCAGGGATTCTCTGGTTTGCTTCATTCTTGCTTAAATTCTGAAGGATGATTTAGGCATCTAGGTGAGAACAATAGCTTTGGTTGAGTCATAGCCAATTAATCATCTCTACATTATAGAATCTCAGAGTGCCAAAGGACAGCCTTAGAAGCCATCGAGATAACTCTGTATCTGAACAAGAATGGCCTTGACCAGCAGTTATTCAGCTTCTGCTTGAAACCCACCAAGGCAGACCACTCCACTTGGGACAACTGGAATTGCCAAAGACTTTGCCCCAAAAGCAGACAGAGCAAGGGGTGATCACTTACGGCACTCTTTTTCATCTTTGTTGTTTGTGATTTTGCTTTTCTGACTTTTTGTTCCAAACAGTTTGTTCCAGTTTATTGTGTTTGCATAGCAGAGTTGTCTGTTTTTTGAGATGATGACATCACCATCACTGATTTCCTTGAGGGAGCGTAAGCCCAAGGAAGTTATGTCCAAGCCAACAACAGCAAGAGAAAACTGACCACTGAAATGAGGAGAGAAAAAACAACATTGTGACATATAACTATAAATCAGCTATAAGAAAGGGAAATTCTGGGGAAAGAAAAACAACATAGCATTGTTGAGAACCATCTTGGTTTTCAAGGAGACCCTGTTCTTCTCCTCTCCACCCCCAGATTTACACGCATTGCAATGAGCACTAGATTGTTAGGAGGCAAGCACTGTGGCTTTTGGAGACTGTAGGAAACTGGCATTTTCAAGAACAGCTTTGAAAGGCATTATTATCTTTGTCTAAGAAAGTCACAATTTTCTGATCTTTTATAAATCTAAATAGGAACCACAGGTGAGCTTTACCTGGAGGTTAGTGATTGGGCTAGCTACATGTCAGTGGATTCTGACTGTAGGTGAAGCTTCTCTTAAGTGAGCTCTCACATCTTTTCCCCTTCCTGTGATACCCTCTCCAGAGACCCAGTTACTGATCCTGAGTGTAATTCTTGTCCATACTTGAAAAATAGTTCATTCATTACTAAGGTCTCAGTTGATAAGGGCTTAATTGGTGACCCCTCCCAGGAGAGTTAGAATATTCCTGGAAAATCTTAAAGGAATGGAGAGATAATGGTGGAATGACATATAGGAGAGTTGATAATTTTGCATAGGGGTTGCTGCCCATAGTCCTCTCAGGGAGCACTAATTAGGTGATTGCCTACTCTACTATTTCTTACGGTTATAAAAAATAGAAATTGATTATGGAAAATTTCTGGTAGACTAAATAATTCTCTAAACAAACTAATGGTCTCTTTGAGGAAAATTGCCTTCTTATATGGATTGGACTATTCACTGGAGGATCTGATCATGATCATGGGAGAGTAATTTCACTATTGAGATTTATTCTTATTTTATTTTGAATGGTGGGTCAATGATTAGAAAGAATAATAGATAATGATATTCTTCTACAGTTAGATGGTACATTAGAAACCACTCTCATTATTTTATAGAAGATATTGAGTATCAGAAAAGGGAAATGATGTGCTCAGAAGTGTAAGTAGTAAATCTGCTTTTGAGATATTCTGAGGTAGGAGATTTTTACCTGGTGGCCCTGGCTAGATTTCAGAGGGTCCCTGAACTTGAATGGGATTTTTTTTTCTTTTTTTCACTAAACTAAACATGAAATTTAGCATGTTTTTCAATTATGACTGAGGAATCCAGAAAAGGGGTCCCCAGGCCTCATTAGATTACCAGAGGGGCCCATAACACAAAAAAAGTTAAGAATCCCTGATCTAAGGTAAATCCCAATTAACTCAAGGGGTAGAAAAGAACTCTCAAAAATCCTGAATCCATTACTAGCTGTGTGACCCTGGGTGAGTCACTTAACCTCAATTGCCTAAAAATTTAAAAAAAAAAATCCTGAATCCAAAATGAACTTTGGTTTTCTTCAACTAAAAAACAAAACACATTTTTAGGAAAGCAGAGGGAGAAAGCAAATCACAATGCCAAACCCAGAGTGGTAAATAATCCCCTCCTCCCCACCCAAAGCATAGGAAATTTGTGGGGAAGGCATCAACCAAATTACAATCAACAAATCAACTTGATTACAGCCTCTGGAGAGTCTGCCATGGAGGTCTTCAAGAAAAGTCCAGATAAGCATTGTTGGGTAGATGGTAGAAGGCGTTCTTCCCACGGGTGGGAAAAGGGAATTGTGCCAAGGGGTTGGGCCAAACAGCACAGGTTTGAGAAGGGAGCTTACAGGGTCCTTTCTGGGAATGTTCCCATTTCCCAAGCACACCATGGATGGCTTGAAGAGCTCTCTCAAATGCCACTGTCCTGGAGGTCTAAGAAGGAACAGTGAAACTATAATATTCTGGGACTGAAGAATCATTACTTGGTCACCCTGACTGCTGATGTCGCAGCTCCTACCCATCTCCCCACCCTGGGAAAGGATGAATATTCTGATTTTCTCATGAGCGAATTTTCTCTGTATCAGTACAATCCCACCAGCCACACCATTTTGGTTAAAAGTTGTCTCCTGGCATCTAGCCTTCCCTCTGTGGATTCTAATATCAGCACAGCAGAGAAGGCTATTCAGCAAATCCATAGATGAACCACAATCTTTGCAGCTTTTAAAAAAAGTAACACTATTATCTTTTCCTCCTACCCCATTCGTTAATTCAATTCATTCGACAACCATTTATTAAATGCCTCTGATGTACGATCACTGTGCTAGGCACTGAGGATATAAACATATACAAAATTATTGGATGTGCCATTTGAAATCACTGAATACAAAGTATGGATCAGTTACTAGCAGGCAGCAAAGCCCTTTGCTCCTTGGAGATTAGATGCCCATAGCTCAAGCACAAGCAGGGGAGGTGCTCCAGAGTTACCTGGTGTTGGAGAACAGAAACTGGTTCCCCAAAGGTAGGGCAGTCTAAATTAGTGACTCATCACAGTGTGCATCCTGTGAATTGGCTGTTCTGAGTTTTCCCCACCGCCAGTCACCATGTGAAGATTTCAAGCACAGCCTGGCCCAAGGCTTCTGGGAAGTGGTCCTGGCACGGAGCCACACAGACAGACTGCTGGGATGTGAGATGATTTATTGTTCTGAAGGAATATACCAAGGGGCCTACAGCATGTGATGATGCTTTGAAGCAACGTGAATGTAAGATGGGTAAGAAGTGTGTGCCTTTACCTAAATCATCCTGTGCCTTCCAGGCTTAGCTCAGGAGCCACCTACCACTGAAGACCTTTCCCAATACCTCCAGGTATTAGTGTTCTTTCCACCTACCAGAAATTACTTTGTATTTTCTTTGCATATATTTTCCATTTGCTTATCTGGTTCTATTGTACGCCCTGAATAGAATGCCTGCTCCTTACCTTAGGGGCAAGGCATTTCTTATTTTTATTTCTGTATCTCTTAGTGCCTATCACAGTATCTTGAACATAGTGGGTACTTAATAAATGCTTATTACATTAATTAAATTGAATAACCAGACAAAAAGGAACATTTTGGAGATCCAGACTAACTATATTTAAGTACCGAGAGGTATGACTATCTTGTAATCTAAACGAGATGGCTTTTACCAGACTTGAAGTGCTTGATTATTACACAGTGATATAGAATACAATTAGAAGTCATGGAGGTCAGTCATGTAAAACAGCTCTAATAGGGTGAATGTACTTAGCAGAACCATTCTTAAGCCCTTTCCCCACATTCCTCCATACTGGTTATAATGATTACTTAATAATTTCTGTTTAGTCATTAAAGCTGAAAGTTGGCAAAGTCAGAAATATGCTCTATTATAAACTGGTCAGATCTCACTCCCAAAGCAAATGGGAGCTTCCTGGATAATTCAAACAAATACCAAATACCCAGCTTTACCTGAATTATCAGGCTAATTTCCACAGCCTTCTCCTTGCTGAACCCCTAAAAAGCTGGCCTCTGGAATGGAAAAGATTTAGTTCTATCTCTCGTTGACTGCATAACTATGGTTAGGATTGCCGGCTACTTACTGTTGCTTTGTTCGGCCTCGTATAATTTCCAGATGTTCAAAAGCATGGAGGTCAGTCATGTTTTCAGGCCAAGCCTGAATCAGCAAAAATCCTGAAAGTCAATATGTTTCACAGGATCATAGATTTAGAGTTAGCTAAAGTAGTCCCCAAGGGGTGAAAAAAATTATTCCTACAAACGTGCATTAACAAAACAGAAAAAGAGATGATGAAATGAAAATGCATTTAAAAATTAGAAAGGCAAATACACCTAAAAGAGAATATATTTAAAAATTAGGAGAAATAGACCAACTGGAAACCAAAAAAAAAATTACAGAAATGAAATGTAAACTAAAAGCTTGTTATTTGAAAAGACTAATAAAATCGATAAGCCTTGGGTCAATTTGACTAAAAAGAAGAGGGGGAAAAATTTAAAGCAACAAAATGGAAAGTGTTTTAGATGTCATGTACTTTCCTTAGAAATAAACCAGTTAAAAGTTCACTTGTATACTTATATACACATTTATCTGGGTCTGCCATGAAATCTGAACTTGAGGACTAAATGCCAAAATTGTGACTTAGGCCCTGTCCTTCTCCCTCTACATATACAGGGCTGGGCCTGTGGAAAATTGCAACATAGACAAAATCTGTCCAATGTCTTTTCTGTGGACCCCTGTCCAACCTCTCAGATGATCTTGTTTGCTTTGCCCATCAAGGTATATCCTCTCACAATAACGTTTGAAAATTATCATTCTTCTCTTCCCCTTGCCATTGTTACTTCACGCCCTTAAGGAGGACGGACAAAGATGTGTTCAATCTGACTTTGGAAAATGGTCAAAACTATTGGAAAAACTGCTAATTTACCCTTTTGGAATCTAATTATAAGACTGTTCTGAATGTAATCCTGTTTCCCTTAAGTAAAATAGAAATAGGGCTACTGGGATGAGGCAGAGGCCTATGACCTACCTAAACTAGGGGCAAGGGTATGAATCACTACTTTTTTAGCTTAAAGAATTTAATTTTAAACGATGAAATTTCAATTGAATACTGTTTGAGGGTTGGGTTCCTTTTCAGTGTACCTCAGATTATACCACTGGTCATGTACATGCATATAAATATATATACTTAGCTATTGAACCCATGCCATAAGGTAGAAAATCTGATTTCACTGACTAACCATGTGACTTTGGGAAAGGTCACTACTCTGGGTCTATTTCTCTTCTATAGAATTAGTGACTTTGTCTTAGATGACCTCTAAGCTTGAATCTAGCTCTAACACTCTGTGGTTCTTTGGGGTTTTGTACAAACCTGATATTTCCTTCACGGTCCTGAGAATATTCAGTTCTTTGGGATCTAAAGGTGGAGTATTCGTGAAGGAGTCACTGAAATAAACATAGAACCTTATCATCCAGTGATCACAGACCCAAGAAAAGCAGCACACTTTCCCTGTGCGTTTCATCTTCACAAACTTCTTACCCTTTAAATGCAACAGGCAAGATGTGCAGATCGCCGCTGATGGTGGTACAATTCTGGAATTGTTTGATGTTTGTGGCATTGATGGAGAGAACATCTTTAAATTCACCAATTCCTATTCCATTGCAAACTATGAGGAGAGCAGAGAAGATTATTCAATCCGGCTTTCTAGAACGAACAACTTTCCAGATGAACTTCAAAATGTCTCCCTCGTTGTCTTTGGCTTGCCACACAGTTGTCAAATGCAAAATAACCCTCATTTAGTTTTGCTATCAGGGGATTACTGATCACTACCATTTAAATCCCATTCAGATAGGGAGAAAAATCCATCACTGGGCCATACAAGAGAGATTCAGTTCAACAATCTATTCATTTCAATGTTGCAAAATTCATCTGCCAACCACTAACCCTGGCTCTTCCAGGAAGGTAAAACAGGATGAGTATGGCAGCCGAACATCTCACTAAACTAATTTTTTTTTTGATCACCCTCTCCCTCTCCCATCAGTGATAAAAAAGCATTAGATGAACATTCCAGACACCCATGTGATGTGGGACTATTTGTTTCACCTCCCTGGGTGTGTCTCAGTTTTCTCCTTCATAAAATGAAGACATTAATTCTGGGATAGCTGCCAGTCCAAGGAAGTGTTTAGGATTATGGACTTCTTTTAAGGTCTCCTCCTTGATTCAGTAACAGCAGCTAGTTATTATAAACTTTTACAGCAATAGCCCTTTCATACATTTATTAATAAGTAATTATTAATAGCATCATAAAATACCATTATCAGGCACTAGGGATGGAAGGAAGAAAGAAAGGAAAAGAAAAACAGAAGGAAGGAAGAGAAAGGGAGAAAAAGGTGAGGGAAGGAGGAAGGAAAGGAGGGATGGAAGGAAAAGAAGAAATGAAGGAGGGAGGAGGCGGAAAGGAAGATGTAGAGGAAGGAATGTGACATGCATGGACATGTCTATATACATGCTCATGAATACACACAAATCCATACATTTATATGTATACGTATGTTAATGTATGTATATTTACACATATATGTTTATGTAAGAGAAAGAGACAGAGACAGACACAACATAAGGTCTGTCCAGATCTGCCTTAGTGTAGTAAGAGTTTGTGTCCTGGACCCTTTTAGTAGTATGGTAACATCTATAGACTTTGTCTTAGAATGATGTTTTTAAATTCATAAAATAAATACACCAAATTATTTTTAAAAAGAGTATTGAAATAGTTGCCAAAATATTTCATGAAAATTGATGGATCCCCTAAGATCTATTCACAGATGCTTAAGGGTCCATGGACTCCATGGTGTACACAGTACCAAATAAGTGTCCCTGGCAACTGTCTTTGATAATCATGGAATCATAGATTTAGAACTATAGGGCACCTTGGAAGCAATCAAGTCAAACCTCCTTGAAGGATTCAGGATGACAGATGAGGAAACTGAGGCTGCTAGGGATTAAATGACTTGCCTAGGGTAACACAGCTACTAAGTATTTGAGGCAAGTCTTCTTGACTTTGAGTCTAATATTCTAACTAGCATAATACTTAGCTGACTTACAGAGGTAGGTTGCAATGTCTTGTTGGAAGGAATTTTCACATTGAGAATAGACAAAAATCACCAAGGTTGACAGAATCACAATTTTTTTGTTAATTTACACACACACACACACACACACACACACACACACACACACACCCCTCCTGTTGGATAATTTGGGGAAATAAAAACTTGGGACCCTCCTGTGGGAAACATCTGTTTCTCAAATCCTCTGCATCTCTAATCCAACATTTTCTCCCATAGCTTGCCACATGCCAGATGGCCCTGCATTTCTTCTCATGGCCTGGAGATAGCATCCTAGGATGCAGAAGGAATGTTGAGTGGAAACAGAGCATTTTGATATAATGGAAGATGAAAGTTCATTCAAATCCCACCTCCAACTTAATAGTATTTTATTTTTTTCCCCAATTACATGAAAAGATAATTTTCAATATTCACTTTCATAAGATTTTGAGTTCCAAGTTTTCTTCCTCCCTCCCCCTCCACCCCAAGACAGCATGCAGTCTGATATAGGTTATACATGTATAATTACATTAAACATATTTCCACATTAGTCATGTTGAGAAAAAAGAATTAGAACAAAAGGGAAAAACCACCAGAAAGAAAAAAAAAACAAAAAGCAAAGAAAAAAGTGACAATAGTATGCTTCTGTCTGCATTCAGAATCCATGGTTCTTTCTCTGGATGTGGATAGCATTTTCATGAGTCTTTTGGAATTTTCTTGGATTATTGTATTGCTGAGAAGAACTAAGTCTATCATAGTTGATCATCGAACAATGTTGCTGTTGCTGTGTATATAGTTCTGGTTCTGCTCACTTCACTCAGCATCAGTTCATGAAAGTCTTTCCAGGTTTTTCTGAAACCCACCTATTCATCATTTCTTATAGTACAATAGTATTCCATTGCATTCATATACCACAGCTTTTTCATCCATTCCCCAATTGATGGGCATCCCCTCAATTTCGAGTTTTTTGCCACCACAAAAGAGCTGCTATAAATATTTTTGTACATGTGGGCCCTTTTCCCTTTTTTTCTGATCTCTTTGGGATATAGACCTAGTAGTGGTATTGCTGGATCAAAGAGTATGCACAGTCTTATAGCCAGACTATAGGGCATAGTGCCAAACTGCTCTCCAGAATAGCTGGATCAGTTTACAATTCCACCAAGAGTGTATCAGTGTGCTAATTTTTCCACATCACCTCCAACATTTGTTATTTTTATTTTCTGTCATCTTAGCCAATCTGATAGGTGTTAGGCAGTACCTTAGAGTTCTTTTAATTTGCATTTCTCTAATCAATAGTGATTTAGAACATTTTTTCATATGACAACAGATAGCTTTAATTTCTTCATCTGAAAACTACTGTTCATATCCTTTAACCATTTATCAATTGGGCAATGACTTGCATTCTTATACATTTGACTGAGTTCTCCATATATTTTAGAAATGAGGACTTTATCAGAAATACTGGCTGTAAAAATTATTTCCCAGCTTTCTGTTTTCCTTCTAATCTTGGTTGCATTGGCTTTGTTTGTGCAAATTTTGTGTTAATTTAATGTAATTAAAATTATATATTTTGCATTTCATAATGTTCTCTATCTCTTGTTTGGTCATAAATTCTTTCCTTCTGACAGGTAGATCTGACAGGCAAACTATTCCCTGCTCTCTTAATTTGCTTATGGCATCATCCTTTATGTCTAAATCATGTACCCATTTTAACCATATCTTGGTGTATACAGTGTGAGATGTTGGTTTATGCCTAGTTTCTGCCATAGCATTTTCCAGTTTTCCAGCAGTTTTTGTTAAATAGTGAGTTCTTATCCCAAACAACACTCACCCCCGTCCCTTCTTTACCTCTACTGTAATAAGTCTTTTGCACCTCTTCACATGATGTAATTTACCCTATTGTGCCTCCCTCTTTCCTCTTCACCCAGTATAATCCTTTTTTTTCACTCCTTAATTTTTTTATATCATCATATCAAAATCAACTTATACCCACACCTTCTGTCTACGTGTACTCCTTGTAACTGCCCTAATAGAGACACGGTTCTCGAGAGTTACAAGTATCATCTTCCCATGTAGGGAGGTAAACAGTTTAACCTTATGGAATAACATGTGGTTTTTTTTTCCTTTTCTTTCCTACTTACCTTTTTTATGTTTCTCTTGAGTTTTATATTTGAATATTGAATTTTCTCTTCAGCTCTGGTCTTTTCATCAGGAATGATTGAAAGTCCCATATTTCATCGAATATGCATGTTTCCCCTGGAAAAACTATGCTCAATTTTGCTGGGTGGTTGATTCTTGGTTGTTACCCAAGCTCCTTTGCCTTCCAGAATATCATATTCCAAGCCCTCCTATTCTTTAATGTAGAAGCTGCTAAGTCCTGTGTAATCCTGACAGTGGCTCCTTGATATTTGAATTCTTTCTGGCTGCTTACAGTACTTTCTCCTTGACCTGATAATTCTGGAATTTAACTACAATATTCCTTGGAGTTTTCATTTTAGGATCTCTTTCAGGAGGTGAGCAGTGGATTCTTTCAATTACTATTTTACCCTCTGGTTCTAGGATATCAGGGCAGTTTTCCCTGATAATTTCTTGAAAGATGCTATCCAGTCTCTTTTTTTTTGATCATGGCTTTCATATAGTTCAATAATTCTTAAATTATCTCTCCTGCATCTATTTTTCTAGATCATGAAGTATTTTACATTTTCTTCTATTTTTTTCATTCTTTTGATTTTGTTTGACTAGTCCTTGATGTCTTATAAAGTCATTAGCTTGCACTTGCCCAATTCTAATTTTTAAGGAATTATTTTCTTCAGTTAGCTTTTGTATCTCCTTTTTTATTTGGCCAATTCTACTTTTTAAGGAGTTGTTCCCCCCCCCCAGTGGATTCCCCCCCCCCCATTTGGCCAACTGTATTTTTTAAGGAATTGTTTTCTTCAATCAATTTTTGTTCTTCCTTTTCCAAGCTGTTGACTCTCTCTTGCTCATTTTTTCCACTTTTTCTTCTGTCTCTCTTATGTGATTTTTAAAATCCTTTTTGAACTTTTCCAAGAAGGCTTCTTGGGCTTAAGACCAATTCATACTTCTCTTTGACATTTCACTTGTAGGCATTTTGACATTTGTCCTCTTCTGTGTTTGAGTTTTGATTTTCCCTGTCACCAAAGTAGCTTTCTATGGTCAGGGCTCTTTCCTTTTTTTTTTTTTGTTCATTTTTAAGCCTATTTCATGGCTTTTAAAGTTGAGCTCTCCTGCTGGAGCACAGGGGGCACTGTCCCCAGCTTCTTGTGCTGGGGGCCAGGGGTCTGGTCACTGGCTTTCTGTAGTGGGACCTCAGGTGCTGGCAGCTTGCCCACTGTGCTTTGGTGGCCCAGTCTAGTCATGCTTGCTGTGCTGGAGTTCCAGGACTGGTAATTTGCCTTCTGTGCTGGGGCTAGAGGCTTCACAGCTGGCTGGCTTCTAGGACCAAGGGGCCTCCATTGCTGATCTGTGATGTGGCTAAGAGCCTCCCACTGGCTTGCTTGGACATGTGCTGGGCTGCTCTCCCCTTGTAGTCAAGTAAGGCAGAACTTTCCAAGTTATCTTGAGCTGAAAAATTGTTTCACGCAATCTTTGTGTAGGTTCTGTCACTCCAGAATCCATTTAGAGGCTTGATTTAAAGTTGTTTCCTAGGGAAACTGGGGAGAGCTCAGGCAACTTTCTGGCTTTTCTCCACCATCTTGGCTCTGCCTTGGGCTTATTCAAAATTAAGGGAAAAGGCCATCTTTCATCTTGTTCTTCCTTCCATGTGAAAATGTTTGCGAGTTGTTCTGTCTTCATGCAGATTAATTCTTTCCTTGTCTCACTCACTTAGATCAGGTATTGTGTCCAAGTTCTTAGGCTTTTCCCCCAGGGGGGCATATGCCCAGTGGTTTCCTGAAGGCTCCAGATTTGCAGGGTGAGGCTCTTTCCCCCAATTCTTTAATGACATTCATCCCTTAGTTTCTGCTGCTCTTCTTGCTTCCCCCCTTCCAGACTTATCTCCAAACACCTATCTCAGGCTATTCTCTGCTTTTATTTTAATGCTCCCAAATGAATTCTATTTTGCATCATATGAAGTTCAGACATATAGCTTTTGGCACTAGGCTTCCCATGCTAACAGGGTTAGTGATCTCCAATTTTGAGTTTGTATTCCCAAGGCACAGAAGAGGCACTTAATAAATGCTTGCTGAAATGCACTGAAAATACTCAAAAAATTATTGTATGTGAATATAATGGTGCCTTAAGAAATGATAAAAAGTATTGTCTCAGAGAAAAATGGGAAGACCACCAGCTGACCTAGGAAATAAAGGTCAAGAATAACAAAAATCACCCTTTCTGGCCTCTTGTAGCTTTCTTACCTTTACTACATGGACCTTCACACTTTTTACATTTTCGGACGCCATCTTCCTCCACTTCATAGGTCTCAGCATTACAGGAGCGAACACAAGAACCATGGTCTGTCACCACATAGTTATCTAAGGAAGAGGGAAAGAAAAAAGGATCATGGAACAGAGCTGGTTGTTTCTGGAACGAGTTCAGTCCCTCAGTATCCAGGTTGTAGAATGGACACGATGCTTTCCCCTTGTTACTTACATTGTGCATAAAACTATATTGAAAATAACCCACATATGCAGTTGTTTCACCATAAGAAATTAAAACAAATGGGCTAAATAGAAAATTATAGGTAAATAGTTGCTGGAGGAAGTGTACGCTAGCAATTCCCAATAATTTTAATTATTTAAAATTACTATTTAAATATGTTATGTCAAATTATTTAAATAGTATTTACATTTTTTTATCTTCAGAATGCCCATAGCCATAAAAACACCTAAATTTAAATTCTTTGAAATTAGCTATTTCTTTAAATCCTCTCAAATTTGAGCTATTACATATTTTCAAATTTGTTTTTAACCACATAAATTTGTGACGAGATAATTTCTCCTTCTAGCACTTCATCATGGTCTTTGAGTGTCTTCCCCCTTGGCATCAATGTTGACATAAGAGATAGAGTGCTGGAGTCTGGCAGCCTGGGGTTCAAATTCTACTTACTCACTATGTGGCCCTGGACAAGTCACACCAGGCTTTTGCATCTTAATTCCTTCATTTGCAGGATGAAGGTAATTATACTCGGAACACATATCTCACAAGATTGTTGTGGGACTTGAACTAAGAAATGGAAGTGCTTTACAAACTTTAAGGTGCCCTTTAAATATTACTTGTCATTATGTTCATTAGGACCAAATATCTTATTTGGCATCTTAAGTGCTCTTAGGAAGACTGGCACAGTCAATTCCTTGCCCTTTTTTATTATTGTTATTCAGCCTGAACTCAACATGGAGATTCTTTTGTTCTCTGTTAACTGACATTTTACAAAATAAATTGTTTTAAAGAGGTCTTAAGTCACCAAATCTGCTTACATTATGTTCCCCTCTACATTATAAACTCTTAGATGTTAATCAATAATTTTTTGGTAGACATGTAAGGGAAATATCTTCTCATCTTTTCGTATCCCTCTAATCTACTGAAGATAGTGCCTTATATACAGGATTGAAGGTTGGAGATTAAAAGACTGAAAAAATCATGCATAACTAATCTTCCTTCCCTATTCTACTTTCTAAAAAAGGATGGGCCATTGTCTACTACTAAATTACTATGTGACACTGGACAACTCAATTTGCCTCTCTTGACTCTAGTTATTTGTTTATATATTCATTCATGCAATGATAAGAGCCTAATGAGTTTTAAAACACTGTGATAGGAATCATCATCATCATTATTCTCATGGCCTTGGCTTTTACAGGGCTGGTCTATAGAATGTGTAAGAGTGAATTGGATTCCTCTAACATCCCATCTGGGTCTAATTGTAATTTTATGTAAAGTTCAGTGTTACCAACTAGTGTAGGCAGGGAATGGAGACTTATGCCATCAATGAGTTTATGGTGCTTATCTCACCTCCTATTCCATATATACTTATCTAACACTCAGACGCTATTTTTGTTTTAACTGAAATTGAAAGGCATTTAATGAACAACCACTTTCCCCTCAACATCTCTCCTTCCCTTCCTTCTCAGGAGATAAGAAATCCCAGTACTTGAAAAAGTGAGAAGGGGAAGGGAATGCTTGTAGAATTGAAAGATACCAATGTAGAAGATAGGTCTCTGTCTATAAATTCTCTAATTTAATGCCCTCTGTGAAACACTGAGAGAGTTCAAATGACTATAGATGACTGACAATAAGACTACTTGCCCTTGGCAGGTGACAGCTGGACTTCAAAGTAAAAGAGCCTGGCAAAAATAGATCTTGCTAAGGAATAGGATGCAGCCACCCTAGGCATGAGAAAAGCTCAGATAATGGCCCTTCAGCGTAGAATGCTACTCACCTGTAAGCAGGTCTGGGATCTGGGGCTTCCTATCTAAATCCCTTTCCGTTCAAGGAAAGGTACCAGGACATTATGCCTTAGTTCTCTGCTTGGCAGCTGCATGATGGCAACTACATCCTTCATGAACACCAGAAGAATAGTGTTGATCCATCTCCCCCAAAAGTGCATGGAATAAATGAAAAAAAGGGCCATTCAAAAGTTCCTGAATCATGAAATCTTGGTAGGGAAATCCTAGAAGTTAAATGACAACTTTTGCGTAGGGGCTCTGGTGAACTCACGTGGGCACTTGCGTACACAGGTGGCTCCAAAGCTGTATTTGCCGTCTGGGTTGACATCCATCTGGTATGTGGTGGGGTTGTATAGCATCAGAGGGGGGCAGGTGTCTTTGCATGTGGCTTCATCTCGAAACTTTCGACAGACCTGTTGCAAGATGGAATACCAATGATAAGAGACTAGGCACGCACTTCCAAGCAGGCCAAACCACTCTAATTGGAACTGAGTGTTATGTAATATGAAGATGCTTTATTTCAGTGAAAGATAACTAGATCAGTCACTTAAAAATGAATCACAGCATTCCTTTCTCTTTCCTTTCTTTATTGTACCTAGCCTGTTAGTAGGAATATAGAGGAAGAAGTGCCTGATAACTTTTCTTTCTTTTTTTTTTCTGATAACTTTTCAACCAAGATGTGGAAACATTATGAAGCTCATGACCTGTCCTATTAACTAGAGTCCATTTCTTTTCAAAATCAAGCACATTGGATTTCCCCCAAGCCCTGTGTAAGGACACATTTTTGAAATCTAATAGACCTTTCTCTGTGGAAAAGAATCTAGCTCAGAAAAATATAATGAAGCTTGGAGTGAATAGAATGAATCATAGGAATGGTGAGTTCAGAGGCCATCTAGCCCAACCCTTACCTGAAAGGATTGCCAACTACAATGTACATGTGGATCATATTCCTCAGGGAACAAAATGTTTCCTGAAATATTCCTTTCCAATATGAGTTAAAATTATTTTATGACGACATTTAGAAAGGCATCAATCAATAAACATTTTATTAAGTGCCTGCTATGTGCCAGGCACTGTCCTAAGCACTAGGGACATAAAAAGAGGCAAAAGACAGTCCCTGTCCTCAGGAGCATATAATCTAATGAGGGAGACAACATGCACACAAATATATACAAAGCGAGCTCTATACAGGATAAATAACAAATAATTAACAGAGGGAAGACACTGGACTGAAGAGAAGTTGGGGAAGGCTTCTTGTAGAAGATGGAATTTTGGCTGGTACTTTGGCATGGAGGATAGCCCAAGAAAAGGCCCAAAGTGGAAAGATGGTGGTTCTTGTTCATAGAACAAAGAGGCCACTGGATCAAAGGCATGAAACATCCCTAACCCCCTAGGGAAGGCTGTGGATCCTTTCCTGCACAGCCCACGCCTATAACCATGGTCTTAGCAGTTCCAAGGGTGCCCTAGGTCTGGGTATGTGGCCGGTCCAGGATCCCTTTAGTCAAGCAAAATGGATTCTAGGAGGTTTTAAAGCAAACTGCTGAGGCTTTCTTGTAGATGCCACCACAGTGAAAAACAGAAAGTGGTTTTGAGAGCTCTCTGTGGTAAACTGTGATGTCACTATCACACAAAGTCATCTGATTCTCCACGAAGTAAAAGTACTTTTCCTGTCCCATGCCTTCTCAAGTAACTGTCTCTGAGGGTTCAATCTCAAAATAAAATGAGTAGAGATAGCAAGTGGGTACAATAGTGGACTTGAAGTTAGGCAGTTCACATCCGGCTTCAGACACTTACTGCTTAGCTGTGTAACCCCAGGCAGACCATTTTATCTCAGTCTAACTGTTTTCTCATCTGTAAGATGAGGTTACTAATGGCTCCTATCTCATCAGGATTCTGTGAGAATCATGAGATAACATATGCAAAGTGCTTTGCAAACCTTGAGGTTCTATGTTCATTGTTATAAGACACTGCAGGAACTGGGAAGCCCTGTAGGCTACACAATGGTTCCCTCTTACCAAGCAGTCACTCTCTCGGGGTCCAGTACAACCTGCTGCGCACTGGTTGTGGCAACAGTCACTGGGGGAACTACCGCGACACCGTCCTGAGCACTGCTGGGCACAGATGGTCTTCGTCACTGAAAAAGAGCAAAGGTCACAGGTGAACCAGATGTTCATTAAAATGCTTTGGTTTTTTCTCCGTAGATTAGGTTCATCAAAGGTGCATTGGGTGTTTATTTTCAAGCTTTGGTGAGTCCTTTTCCAAATGGGTAGGTTCTAGGGCCAGTCGTCAAACCCTATAAGGGTAGGTTGCCTTCACATGCATTGAGGAGTTTACTTTACGAATTGTGTCAGGAGCTTGGGATGCTATGGAGCTGAGAGAGGATACAGAGAGGTGCTGCTGTGTCCTTTGAAGGTAGAAGAGGATATGTCAGTCACTGCTCCAAGGCTTTTTTTTAAAGAACTTCTTGTTTTGGGTTTTTGGTAAAGCAATACTACTTGTCATTTTCTGACAACCTCATCAGTTCCACATGACTTTCTGCTCTAAACTGTTCTTGCCTGGATAGTTTCATGAAGATGCAAATGCTTTCTTCCTTAGGACACCCTGTTGGGTTCCCTGTTCTGAATAAGATGGTTTCTGTTTGGGTACCAATTATCAAACATGGCCTCCCTTGTATTTACAGTATACAGGAACTTCCCAGGCATTTTCCACTACAAACAGTAACTAGAATAATCTTTGTGATTATTATACCTTTTTCACTGACCTTGTTCAGTGCTGATACTTGAGACTTTTCGCAGGTAAGGGGAACAATATGGTAACAGATGGGTTCAGAGAACAGATGTGAGGTTGTATGGTATTTCAGAAGTCAGTTCAGGGTCATATGAAAGCCAAAGTTTAATTTTCATCTGGTACTAAACAGCCAGGCCCAGAGGCAAGGAAGCCTGTTTATGTCCTCAAAATGAGATGACAGTATTAGATCTAGCCTTCAAGATCCAGAAGGAAGAACAACCAGGCATGGTTGAACGTCAGCAAAACATCCAAAGCACCCTGATAAATCAAGATTCATCCAAAAAGTATTCTTCCAAATTGGATTTGGTCAGTGCAAGACTTCAGTCACTATCAACTCTAATAGACTAGGCCAGTCCCTTGTTCCCTTAATTGAGTTTCAGCTATAAAAAGCTCACTACCAGGCCTAGTGTTTCCTGTAATCAAATCAGGTGAGCTCCCCAGGCTTTGAGCCATTATCAGAAAAAACAAAGAATCTTATATAATAATTAAAATGATAGTACACAGTTATTGTAATGTTTTAAGTTTTTATAAAGTGCTTTACATGGATTATCTTACTTGGACATTGCAACAACCCTCTAGGGGAAGGCAGTGAAGATATTATTATCCCCACTGGTAGATATTCAGGTTATTGCCTAATCATTTGAAGAAACTGAGTGCACAGATAAACAGGAAAAAATCCATAGACTTACAACTCTGGCAATTTTGTGGTCCAGGACCCCAACAGCTTCCATTGGGACAACTAGAATCACACTTTTCACCTAAAATTAGTAATTAAAAAAAAAGATAAATTCATAATATTCCAATGTGAGGGATCAGATCCATTGAAATAATTTTGTCCATTATTCCCAACTTATTACGAATTCTGAATGGAATGGAAACACAGCAAAAATAAACAATAAAACCAGCTGCAGATGAAGAAATAAAAGCTCACCAATAAATTCAACCATTAACAACTTTAAGAATCTTAGCATTGGAAAGGAGAGAATTTAGTCTAATCTCCTCATCGTATAGTTGTGAGGAAATTGACCCAGAGAAGAAGACAAGATTATCCAGTGAGGTAATACAGAGCTGGCATTTATTAAGTACCTACTACATGCAAGGCACCATGTTAAGCTTGTTGACATCTATGAGGTAACTGAAGAACATAGTACTTAAGGGGTTTCTTTTAAATCCTGGCTCTTGAAGACCCTGGCCATTTTCTGTTGCCTTTACATTCTCTGTGACATAGTGCCTTGCACATAGTAGGTGCTTAATTAATACTGTTGAAGTGTTGCTTATTTTTCCATGCTCTGACAGTCACCAATAACAAGTAAGTTTACATGTATAGGTAATTCTCCCCATTTCAAGTTACCACCTTAATATTTAATTTGATTGTCTCTGAATGTAACTATACAATAGGCACACATGTCTTATATAGTCTGGGCCTTGAAATGAATTTTGGCCTGGGAAGATGAAAAATCTCTGTTTTTTCAGAAGCCAATTTGAGTGATTGTTGAGTGGCCTGAGAAACTCACTAATGTGTTGAGGTCTGCTACTGGTTTGTAGGACTTTCTTAAGTACCTAAAAATTACACTTGTTAGTTATATGTCTTTGTTTAGATACTATTGGAACATGTAATTTAATTTCTTAATTCATGTAAATTTCTTTTATGTCATTTATTCACTTGAATAATTCTGTATGGTTTTGCTCTTCAAGGTTTCACTGAGTGGGAAAGTACCAAAACACCAGATGGGTTAAAAAAATTAAATCAGTCATGAGAATATAATTTTTGGTAATAATTTGTTTTTATTTTTAGGCAATCAAGGTTACTGACTTGCCTAGGGTCACAGAGCTGGTAAGTGTCTGAAGCTGGATTTGAACTCAGCTATTCCTGACTCTGAGGCTGGTGTTCCATCCACTGCACCACCTAGCTGCCCTGGTAATAACTTAATAACTTAGAAGTAATTTTATTCCTGAAGTTTCCTTTTTTCTTTGGTAAATTAAAATATTTATTATTTTTAATTAGTTTTTTTTTAATTTTATTATATTTTCTTTTACCAGGGTTGGTAAAAAGGGTTTTTTGTTTATTTTACACCCTTCAAAATAGCTCGTTTCTGCAGGGATCACCATTCTCATCTTAATTCCCTCAGGTATAATGGATGGCTGCCCTTGTGTGTGCATGACCGTCTGTACAAAATGTGTGTGTGTGTGTGTGAGTGTGTATATACATATATGCATATATATGCATGTGTGTATATATATATATACATATATATGTTTGTATATGTAATGATAAGACTAAGTGATCACTTGGACATGAATTATAGCTGTTTCTAAGTCTATCATTAAGAAAAATCAATTTACATACTAATAATATAGACTGCATGTTATGATTATAGGTATTATAGGAAAATGTTGACTTGGACTCGGAAATGAATGTAAAATTCATATATTATCATTTACCAAGAGCCAATAACATGAAGGCAAAAATAACTTGGTTCAAACTAGAAAACTGAGCTGACTCATTAATACACAATTGATTTTCACCTGTGACATATACATTGTGGCCCAAACTCAAAATGTGGAGAATATTGAGAGCAACCAGGCATTAAGAGCACTGACCAGTCTCATGAATTGGACACAAATTATACACATTATGTTGAAATAATAGCATAGATATTGGACAGAGTGGTTGCTTCCCTACTGGAGAATATCCAAGAGAGAAAAATTCTGACAATGATTAGCCATAGAGCAGACTTTTCAGGGGCTAGCCTCTGATAGCTCTTACTCCAGTCTAGAAGAGTCAAAAGCATAGCAAGAATCATTAAAGAGAGACTGACTAATTGAGGTTCTTCATTTGGGGAGAAAGACAAAAGCTTTCTTGGTTGTCTAATCTGATTAGCCTGTGGCTTAACAGTTAAAGAGGTTATTTATAGAGACATTTCTTGAGTTATAGTTCAGATTGCTAGCCTGGACCATTCACCCTTCTCACTACCCACCAAATAGTTTCCCAAAACCCAACTGTATCACATAGCTCATATATGACTACAGGGGCTTGAGATAAAGGTTTCAGTTTCTTATAAAATGAGTTGTTTATAGCAGTCTAATTAGAGGCTGAAGGAACCTTAGGGACTATTAAGTCAATCCTTTTAAGTCAATCCTTTTGCAGATGAGAAAACTGAGCTAGACAGAGGTTAAGTGACTTGTCTAGGGTCATACAGGTGATAATATGCACTGTGACACATGAGTGACTCTTTTCTCTCACATAATAGTATTCACTCCCTCTACCCCCTTATATGGGCCCTATTTTACCTACCTTGAGAATTCATTTACCTTTTGAAAAATAAAATGGCAGGGCGATGGGGGGATTCTAGAAAAGACGCTGAATGAATATTTTTCCTCTCCTTCCCAGAACTAGGGAATTACTAGAATTAGCAGCTTGAAGAAAGTTTACAGAACACTTACAACTCTTAGGATGGCTGTTATTGTCTATTGTGATATTGTTTAAATAGGCGGAGTCCACAATATCCTTCCACTGGATCGTCTCCACATTACACAGGGTTGGGTTATTGTTGAACCGAACACCACCAACAAGGATTTCTACATAAATAAAAGAAAACAAACCTTCAATTGTATTCTATTCAAAATACTTGTGAGGTTTTTTACATCTTCATTTCTAAGGACAAGTGCCCTACAGAGGGTAACAGAGAGGGGGTCAGTGGGGGCTAGAGCAGATGGTGAAGGTTTCATGGAGGAATTGGGACTTAATTTGACCTGCGTTCTGAAACATGGATAGGATTTCGATGATGGAAAGGAAAGGGAGAGGTTTCCTTTCGCTATAGCAGCAGGGAACCACAACGTAGAATTCTCTGTGTGTGTGTACAAGTACAGAAATGACTTCGAGTTAAAAAACAAAAGTCATCAATGACTAAAATTATTTTTAAAAAGAGACAGAAAGGAAGGAAAGAGGAATTCTAGGAAAGGAAGTCAAAGGTACAGAATGGGGACAGTGAAGAAGTTGGTGAGAATAGAAGGTTCATGTTGGAATGTGGCAGAAAAATAAGACTAGAAATCCAGAAAAGGAGTCTCACTTTAAACTGACCAAGTCATTTAAATTCCCACTGCTCTTTGCCAGGGGTCAGCAAAGTATAACAGAGTTACCATGGGCCGGATTTGGCTTTTAGGCCCCAGCAATAAGTTGTGGGGATGCTGAGCCACATTAGAAGATTGGCCAATGAAATCACAAGTCTTGTCTCTAACATACCATATCCTAGAGGTAACGGGGAGCCAGTCAAAAGTTTTGAACAATGGGAATGATCATGATAAAGTAGTATTAGGGGAAGATTGACCTGATAGCATTGCGTAGACTGGATTAGAAGGCAGGATGGATCTAGACTAACTAAGGAGGGTTCTAGCAATAACCAAAGTTTGAGGTGATGGAGACTTGATCTAGGGTGAAAGTCAGTTGCACAAAAGAGACATTTTCAAGGAAGAACTGAAGGCAGTCGGTAATTCCTCAGATATACAGGCTGGAGGACACGGGTAATTCAGAGATAGCTCAAAGGTTTCTAGTTTCTGTGACAAGCGGAATGTAACTGTGAACAGTGGGAGGCTTGTCTGGTTCACTGAAATGCTGAAGGATTGATCTGCATGGAGAGAACTCGCCAGCGGCTTGACTGTTCTTATTTTCCTGCTCCCGGGATCTGATAAATGTATTGATTTCTCTCTCCTTTGCCTCATTCCTTTCTTAAAAAACTGGCATGGTTTACCCTCAGTTTCCTTGTTATTAGCTACCTGTATTTTTATAATGGATTTTGTCCTCAGATAAAGCTATGTTGGTTTTGACTGCATTCTGAGCAAGTGTTTGCTCAGGAGAATAAAAGGGAATCTGTGAAACCAATTATACTAGCCTTTACTAGGAGCCTCAATGAAGTTCTCTCTGGTGAAAAAAAAGAGGGGCTATGGACAGGCCACATCCAGCCCAGAGCTTTGTGCATGCTGCTTCTCCTGCCTAGAATACCCTCCTCCATCCTTTCTCCCCCTAATTCCTCAGGGAGGGACTTTTCAAATTCCAATTGCTTCATCCTCAAAGCGTATCCCCGGATAGTCTCTTACCTAGTAGATTCCTCATGGGCAGTTCCCTCACTCCTGTTTTATTCACATCATAGTTGGAGAGCACAGAAAGGGCATAAAAATTTTCGTACAACACATTTCCTCGGATGATCTGCAGGTTTTCCAAAGGAATTTTCTCGACTGCATTGAGAGCAATGAGCACATAGCCAGCAACCTCCTGGATGGTCTGGAGAAATAAAGAGGACGTAGTTTTACATTTCTTTACATTATTATTTGTCATCAGAGGACCATGAGATTTCATTCATTCATTCATTCATTCATTCATTCATCTATACAAGCATTCAATCATCCAACAAACATTTATTAAATGCCCACTATACGTCAGTTACGGAGTTCAGAGTTCTGAAAAACAACAACAACAACAAAAACCATTCTCTATGCTTAAGGACCTTATGTTCTATTTGGAGTGGTTGGAATGGGATAGACAACACGAATGCAGTAAATAGAAAATTTATCCAGGGTAAATACAAATTTACGTTTGGCCCCGTGTAGAAGGCACCACATAGGCTCAGCCTTGAAGGAAGCTGAAGATTCTCCTGGGTGGAAGGATGAAGGCTGTGCTTTGGAAGCATGGTGATCAACTTGGCAAGGACATGAAGGCATGGATGACACTCATTCTACATGTTATTATGTTGAACATGCATGGCATGAAATTATATATAAATGCATAAAAAATATACAAACGATAACTATTAAAACTGATCAGGAGAGGACACATTTAATAATTTGGGATTTAGATAAATTATGACAGATTTTCCTTTCCAAAATATCAGCCTTAAAGAAGACCTCTCTTGGTCAATTTAGAATAAGTCACTTGGCTCTGTCATTTGACTAGACAGTTCAACACACAGAAACTGTGCCTTCTTATTTATTCTAAAATTGGATGAAAACTGGTAAACCCAAGTTCTGATCTCCTGCGATTTCCCTGGCACTTAAATAAAAAATGCCGCCCATCAAACCCCCACATTCACCTCCATGAAGCCACCAGGAGCACTAAAATTACAGTGAGAGAGAAAGTTCAAAATATTCCCAGGATCCAAACCATCCCACATGTGGGTGTTCTATTTCAGTTTACTTTGAAAATACAACATGTAGCTAGAGTATGACTTAATAAGTATTTCCTATTGAATATGTATGTCTTGCAATCTTAATTCCTGGATACAAAGTACATTGGAATTTAACTCCACAACAATTCTCTTATTGCTCATGTGGTCTCTCATTTACCCTATTTTGGGGGTGGGATGGAAAGGAAAATCAGCTGTCATACCCACCTTTAGGAAGGAAAGGTCATAATTTTTTTGGACATAGGTGATTTCCAAATTTCCAAGTACCACCTCACAGTTATTGAACATTCTCTGGAGACTCAGGAAGTGGTCCTCAAAAGTACCCAACTGGGTCAGCTTGTTACTTGTTCCTTGGCAAACTGTAGAGAGAGAGTAGGGAAAGAAGGAAAATGATGTCACATGAAATACCAAGAGTGAATTAGAAACTACACATACAGAATGTGTGGGCATCACGCAAGTTATAGAATTCTGGGGAAAGGACAGCTACCCACAGAGATAAGTGCCCTTTACTTAATAACTATAATTAGACCACTCATTGTGGTCTTAACACCGAAGTTTCTAAAAATCTTATTGAGTTGATAAAATTACAATCTATTTTTTTTAAGTTGCATGCCTTTTATTTTATTTTCTCACAATTCACTGTTTCCTAGCATAACAAGCCTGCCTCACAGAACCCTCTCTTATAACAAAGAAAAATAGTTAAACAAAAACAGTGCACATAGCAATTATTTCTGAGAGCTTAAGCAATATCCCATACACAGTCAGCCATCTCTCTAACAAGCAGAGGGTTGCATGGTTCTTCTGGGACCAACACTTATTACTATGTCCACATGAAATCATAAAGTTCAAGTTGAAAGGCATCTTAGAAGACACCTACTCTAACCCACTTATTTTACAGAGCCAGAGAAGCTTAATCTAGGCGGCACAATGAGGGGGCACTTGGCCTGGAATCAAGAAGACCAGTACAAATCCTTCCTTAGGCACTTCCTAGCTGTATGACCCTGGGCAAGTCACTTAATCTCTGTGTTTGCCTCAGTTTCTTTATCTGTAAAATGGGGATGATAAGAGTACCTACTTCCCAGGGTTGTGTTGAAGATCAAATGACATCTTGATTGCAAAATGCTTAGTACAGTGTGTGGCACAGAATGTTATTGTGCAGTCATTTAGTCATATCTGCCTCTTCATGACCCCATTTGGGCTTTTCTGGCAGAGATACTGCAGTGGTTTGTCATTTCCTTCTCTATCTCATTTTATAGATGAGGCAACGGAGGCAAACAAGGTTAAGTGACTTGCCCAGGGTCACACAGCTAGGAAGTGTCTGAAGCCAGATTTAACTCATATCCTCCTAATTTCAAGCCTGGTATTCTACCCACTACACCATCTGGCTGCCCCACAATAATAATTTATATAGCACATGGTAAGTGCTATATAAATGTTAACTATTATTATTATTAAGACCAACTTCCTTTTAGTATTGTTCCCAATTATATTATTATCGTCAATGAGTATATTATTCTTTTGTTTCTTTCATTGCTCTGCATCAATTCAAACAAGCCTTGCCATGTTTCTTTGAATTCCTCTAGAATTCTATTTCTATTTAGATTGACAGGGAAAATATTAAATTCTAAATTACATCTCTTTTATCACCACACACATATGCACATACTCCCAAAACCCTTAATTCTACAAACCCAATTCTACAAAGAGACAATTATGAATTCTCCACATTTGCTGGCACCCTCAATATTTTATTGCTAAGAGTAGCACCGATACCAATAAAACACACTGAAACAATGATCAAAGGACCCTTCTGCCAGACAATTTCTGACTTATTTTATATATCAAAGAACTGGGACTAATGGAGGTTCAAGTGTAAAAAGAAATCTATTAATTACACAATAGTTTTGCCTATATAATGCCAAGCATCTGGAAAAAGATTGAAACATTTAGTCAGTGATCAGATGCTTGATCTGCATCTTCCCCAGATGTTTCTCAACAGCTGGTAGACAGATTTTTTTTTCTTATCCACAAGTGTGGTAGCATGTATGCACAACTCAAGAAAATATTGGCCTCTCTACAAAGGACAATATATGAAATTAATGGAAAAAGGAGACCAGGATCTGCAGTGAGTAGAGAGAGAACCCGGATAACAAAGTATTTAAAAATATTTACCCATGACTTATTCACCTTGCTCTGCTGCAGCAAAGCTAGAGTAGGGAGGAGGTGTCACAAAAAAAGAGAAGAAACAAAACTGTTCTTAGAATAATCTCCACATCATTTTTTACAGAGCTAAAATGGAAATGACTTTTTTCAGGAGATGGGGAATCTGATCCTGAAACATGCAAATGCACATTTTGAGACGGCCTTTCTGTTTAATCTGCCTGGGAAAAAAAGAAATGTTCTGAATACAAAACAATTGTTTTTTAGTACGTATGACGTATGCATTGCTGGTCATCGGAAGTACCAGTACCATACAGCCACCAATTCCATTTACCAAAGGTGGTCGGGAGGGAGAGAGAGGGGAAGGAGACAGGGAGAAGTGATTTAGTTAGCCACTATGTATGTTTGGCAAACCAATGAATCAATTCCAATAAGAGGGATGTCCAGGAACGTAGAATAGAGGGATCAAAAGGTTAAACTCTCCTGATCAGTCTTACCTTGGCTGAAAAATCATGGAGTTGGTGAGTTGAGTCAAAACTGAACCAAAAAGTATATTCTCCTTTATTTTTACTTTTTAAAGTGTGTGTATGTGTGTATTATAACTGATAAAGACTGAAAAATTCAATTAAGATTATAAAGCATATATGTATATACACACTCACATTTGTGTACATATATTCAGTTGTGTCCAACCCTTTGTGACTCCATTTGGGGTTTTCTTGCCAAAGACACTGGAGTGGGTTCCTTCTCCAGTAGATTAAGGCCATCCTAGGCAAACAGGAATTAAGGGATTTGCCCAAGGCCACACAGCTAGTAAGTGTCTGAATCTGGATTTGAACTCATATCTTCCTGACCCAGATAGAGCCCAGAGCTCTATCCTCTGAGCTACTTAGATGCTTCCTCAAGACACACACACATACCTACACATATATGGACACGAACACACACAGATATACACGTACACATTAATATAATTTATTAATATAATTAATATTAATACAATATACGCATATGTGTATTATGTATGTATGTATATGCACCAAAATCTTATTGGAGCCTATCAACAACCCTGTGAGATAGGTAGTACAGGTATTATTTCCATTTAATTAATGAGGAACCTGATTTTAAGTGACTTGCCCAAGGTCACACAGGTAGTAAGTGTTAAGCCTGAGATTTGAACTCAGGACTTCCTAATCTCCAATCTTGCATTCTGCCCACTCTGCTGAGTTGCCTCTCACCCCCAGGGATTAAGACTTTGAGTGTATTACTTAATATATAAACTGTTTACTGTGGGCAAGTTTTGCTTTATCCCTGGGAAGTCAGCCAAGTGTTCACTAGAGACAGTGAAATGATCAAGGCCCATGACTGATGGCTGTAACTTTAAGAGAAAAAGGAGAAAAGTTCTACTTACAACCCAGGGATTTGAAAGACATGTGTCAACAAACGTAAAATAGAAAGAGTGCTTTTGGGGGGAAAGAGTAGTCATAGTAAAGGCTGTGCTTTGAACACACAAATTACCTTGAGAGTAAAGAAGTAAGTCCTGTGGCTTTGGAAATTAGAATCAAAATTGGCTAGATTCCTCGTCCTTCCTTTCCTCCCCTCCCCCACATCCAGCCAAAGAGCTGCTGCTGAGATTACACATGGCCCAGTCAGGCAAAGCCATGAAAATTAGGCTGAAAGTCAATAAGGCAGCCTTGTAACTTCATTCCCTTTGAGCAGCTGACACATTTCTCTTCTTCTGGAAAACTAGAATATTGAGGAAAGATGTCTAAATATGTTTGTGTAGTCTACGTTTCTTCATTTCCCCTCTCCATGTTGACCCCTCCTTCCATGTTGAATTTCCTAAATAACACCATGTAATTCTTGCATCCTACGTGATTTGACCACAAAAATGAGCCATGTGCTCAGACACCTCCGAAACAAACTGAATCATCTCCAAAAAACATCATGCATGGACCAATTTACTCATCCTGTATAATGTTATGGGGATTCCCCACCTCCTCCCACCTAACCACCCCCCCACACGTACACACACTCATGAATCTACTCATAAGTAGACTCAAAAAAACATTTACATGATGATTATAAGCAGTAGTAAGACAAAGAAGCTTTGTATGTTTACATACTTGATGATCAAACAATTCCAGAAGCCTTCTCATAATAACTTTTGGTTGAACCAATCAATTGCTGTCCTCCTGTGCTAGTGCCCAAATGGCTGGCACTCAGGGAAATGGTGAGCTTTGAATGCAGCTCCAGATTAGGAAGTAGGTCTACTGCCATATGAACAGAGACTCTTTGATTACTTCTCATGCACATCTTAAAGACTTAAAGGACTAACCTTTCTGGGCAACACTTCGAATTTGAACATTCAGCCTAACTCTAGATACAGTACATGCATATGTGCAATACAGGGACATATAGATATATCACAACAATTTTAAAGATCTACAATTTTTTCTGCACATAACTTTGTAGGTGGTCTTTGACAGTTGTTGAGGAAGAAATATTCATCACCCTGCTGTCAGTCTTATGATAAATTTTTCTGAATTCATCTAGACTGGTCCTTGGACAACACATCTCACTGAGTTCATATTCAAATACCTCCCAGCTTGATAGGAACTGCCAAAGTCTACCCTTTGCTAGGAAAGTCTTCAAGAGTTGAGCACGTTACCTTCAATCCATGCTGAGACATTGGCATCATAGTATTATAATTACAAATATGTAATACATATGTACTATACCTCTCTGGCTCCACTTTCATGTATTAATCACCAATTAACATTTCCTATAATATTCTGTCACTACATATTACAAGAGAGGGAGATATTTTGCTGAGCTAATACAGCTGGAAGAGAAAGATAAGAGAAGAAGAGAACCTATGTGTATGCAAGAAAAAGTCTCTGAAGTAGAAAAGCTACAATAAAAATGGAAGAACTCAATATAATCCATCTTAGGGGGGAAAAATAGAAGCGATAGGGAAGAGATTTTTCTTCACATCAGCCAAAGAAATCCTGGGAGGAGGTAGCACTTTGTCTGTAAAGGGTGGCTCCAAATTGGGTATTTGTAGTTCTTGTAATTACAAATGTTTCTGGGAATGTGTTTTATTTATTATAAATAGTCATATTCCTGAAATGTAAACTTTTAAAATTCAACTCAACAAATATTTGTTAAGCAGGGCACTATGCCAGGCACTGGGAGA